ATCCCATTACATTAGATCACATGTTCTCTGTAGTTTTCCATTGTATTCTTTTCTCCCTTTTCCCCCCTTAACGCTCTGTGTAGTTTCTTTGCTCTGGCAGCCAGATTTCTCTCTGAATATCAACCACAGCCATTCCATGGTAAGACGAGATATTCAGCAAGTCATCTTGCAAATCCCTGATTAACAGAAGCAAAGCTTTCCACCTCTCCTTCTTTATTCCCATCCCCCTTCTCTTTTAACATGCTTTCATTATTTGAGTTCCATTCAATGTGATCTGTGATTTCCCTTCCCCTCCCGTTTCGCAGGCCTGGATTTTCTGGTCCCCGTCGCAGGTTACCTCTGCAGGCTGTGTCACAAATTCTACCATAGCGACTCCGCTGCCCGGCTCGCACACTGCAAGTCCCTGATGCATTTTGAGAACTTTCAGGTTAGACCCTTTGGCGATTGCATGGCCTGGCATTTGTTTCCCCCGTGCGTGTCTCTCCAGTGAATCCACCACGTTAGCTGTCTTGTCTCCAGCTCATTTCCATCATCCTTGGTGTCCATTATGCTGTAGCTTTCTCCTGGTGTGCTCTGTCTTTGTCTCCCTTGGCCCTTGTAGATCTAAAACCAGTTAAGTCCTGCTTCCCAGCTACTGCTGCTGTCATCTTTTTGCCTGTTTCTGGCTGGGAATCTTCCTCAGAGTGTCCGCTCTGTTTGCTGAACCTGTGGAGTCTGTCATTTAGTCTAGGCCTCTTCTCTGTTAGATTACAAGGTTGGTCAAGGTGGGATTGAGCAGGAGAGAGAGGCTGTTCCTTGTAAAGAAAGCTGGTGCATACGCATCTCCAGGTGTGATACTGCAAGAACAGCTCCTTTAGCCAAAAGCGTGGGTGTGATTCATCCAGGAAGAGGCCTGGTAAAATCAGATACCTTAGAGATCTGAAAATTTAACATTACAGACTCTTTATGTGATAGAATCTAGAAGCTGGTGAGAGTCCATTTGTCCCCAGGGTCAGCCTGCAAGAGGAAGTCTGTCTGTCTATCTGTCTGTCTCTCTCTGTCTGCTGCCCTTTCCTAGAAACTCCTTAGCACAAAGCTCTGCAAACTGATGCTGTTCCTTTGCTTTTCTGGCTCCACATAAAGAAGCCGTATTGCCCCTTGCTGCTTTCGTATCTAAAGCTTTTCCTACTGGGCTGGCCTGGAATCTGCCTCCATTGTTCTGTCCTTGTTGACTTGCCAGGGGGTAAGGGGCCTGGATTAGTGCTTGTGGAGGGTACACAGGACTTGCACTGTTTCTGCCCTATCCCGTGACCACTGCCTGGGCCCTCCTGTATGGGAGAGCTCTATTCCCTGTCCTTGGCAAGGAGCGAGGCTCCCACATCGACTTGGTCCTCTGGCTGCACCCACAATGTACTCCCAGAAACTGCTGTGCTTCCCTACCACCTTTTTAAATAGTGTTTAAAAAAAAAAAACCCAAACACACATACATACACCCTAACCCCCCCAAAACTTCATGGTTTTCTTCTAGTCTTCAGACAGAAGAAACTATTCCCAGTCACTGCCTTCAGGAAGGGGTGGAGTGCTTTAGAATTCTGCCAGCACTCAGAGCAGTGGATTTGGAATGGGAGGAGACCACAGCTGTTCCTTCATGGTTGCTCATCCTCTCCCACTCCTGCAGCTAGTCATTTCAGGAATGAAGGAATTGGACTTGCCGTTTTCCTGGCTTGTTTTAGATCAGCATAGAGTGAAACTGCACCAGCCACTTAGGTCACTCTTTTGGCCCACTTAGAGCTGAAATCAGATGCTCTTCAAATGCATGCCAGAATGACCTGGGGAGTTCATGAGAAGAGTCCAGACTTACATGTTTGCAGGCAGATAACTATTATTCTTGCCTGCCTGGGTGCCTTGAGGTTGTCACAGTCTGAGTTAAATCACTGCCAGTTGCTGGGATATTCTCAGCAGAGTAGCTCAGCAGAGGTTTTCAAAGCAGAGAATTGTGTGCTGTTAAGACAATTTACAACATCACTCTGGACACCAGTTTGCATGCCTGCACCTGCTTAGGTTTGGGTACAGTATGACTCGACTGATCCAATTCCAGTGTGATATGATATTGTTCATATCCCATGATTTGAGGAGAGGAAGAACAAGCCTGCAGTGATAAACTGAATTACAATGTAAAACTGCCTGTCAGATGTGCTGTAATTCCACATTGCAGACTGGTGAAAGGCATTGTGTTTGAAATTGTTTCCTTAAATTGTCAGGTGTAATGCTAGTGCCAGTTCACAGAACCCTTTAGCAGGCAGCTGAAAGGGACTTGATTATGAAGGGAACTGCTGTGGGAAAGAGTGAACTTCAGTTTATTCCTTTAGGTCACAATCTCTCTGGGCATTGAAGACTGGGTTCCTGCTATGTGTTAGCTAGCTACAGTGAGCTGTTTTCCCAAAATCCAGTCTAGAACATGCGTAGTAGCCATTTTAATCTCTTTACAGACCTCTACTGGTTCATCATGATAGTGAGTGCAAATGAGTCGTTTTACTGATGATGTGCCTACCTTTACTCTGTGGAAAACCCCAGTGACTTGTAACAAGATAGAATGGATATGATACCGTAGCCTTCCTGTCAACAGTTCCACTGACCGTGCAGATTTTATCAACGGAATGAATAAGTAGAAAGCTTTCAGCTTAAGCCTTGCTTTGGCTGATAAACATTAAATCACACCAGTAGATGAGGGCTGTGCAGAGCCTCACATGCCCAGGGTATGTGTCCTGGCATTAGCTGAAGCAGGAGCTGTCACTTGCACTGTTACATCTACAGAGTCCTGAGTCTGACTGACATTAATAGTTGCCAGATCATGATTTCTGTCTCAGGAACCACAAGTCTGCCATGCACTCGCTCAGCATTAAGTAATGCGAGAGGGACTTCAGTTTTTAATATAACTTTTCCTCACAGGAGCTGACCTTTCTCTGTTGAGAGCCACAGCAGCCAGGCCAGGAGCTGCTGAGATCACTTGTGCCCCTGCCACTCACCACTGTTTTTGTACAGGTGTTCCTGGACCAGCTGCTGCTTTGCTGCAGTGACAGGAGCTGAGCTGGGCTTCTCTCTCACGTTGGTTTGTTTGTATTTGCAGAGATACAAGGCAGCAAGGCATCGTGCCACAACTGCCTACCCCGAGGCTCCTTTGCATTCCCAGGGCTCCAGCTCCCAATTGCTGGATGATCCAAAACAGCCTCTTGCTACAACAGCACATACCAGCAAGAAGATGAATGATGATCATGGGATAGATAAGGAGGGCACAGAGCTGTCAGCCCTGCAAGAACAAACTTCAAGGTCTCTGGAGGGTAAGGGTGAGCTGGCCACCTCTAGGCCAGAGGGCAAGAGCCTGGCCAGTGTGACTGACGATGTGTGTGGTATCATGGTTGTAGAAGAAGAAAGTCTACAGGAAGAGAACAAGTCCACTGCCACTAGTGCCGACTGCCTGTTCTCTGAGGAGAGCCACACCACAGGGGAGTCACTGGGACCTGAGGAAGAAGCCAACACAGCCAGGCAGAGGGCGGGCACAGACGACCACCAGGATCCAGGGAGTGGAGGAGGCTTAGGACAGAAGGAGGCAGCAGAACCAGGCCAGGAGGCAGCAGCAGAGCCTTCCTCCCTCGCCAAAGGTGAGACAGCCGGTCTCACCTCTGCTGGGTGCAGACGCTCTTCCAGGCGCAAACCCAGATAGAGTGGCCTTAAAGGAGAGCCCTTTACATATGATATTTGCTGGAAATGTTTATTTTCTGAGTCTTTTAATAGAGCAAAACCTTCAACTTTACTGCTGTTTTTATTTTAAGAATAAATAAGCCTGGCTTTAGCGTGTCTAATACAGGATAGCGTTGCTTATTACTTGTACAGTTGGGATACAGCAGTTACGTGGAAAGACTGAGGCTTGGATTGTTGAACCTGAAAGAAGATGGTAATGGGATTTCCACAGGGGACAAACTTCACGGAGTGATGGATGCAGACTTAAGAATTCTTTGTAGTTCCTCTCATTTCCTTTCCAGGTAGAGAAAGTGTTTATCTCTTGGGAGACTCTGCTGAATTCTGCTTCTCAGAACACTTCCCTTTCTAAGACACACACTGTTGGACAAGCAGTCTTGGACAAGTCCTAAGCTAGGCAAAAACATGCACCTTGGTCCTTTGTTAATACTACAAGGCTTAATCCAATTTATTCTCATAGTGGAGACTCTCAGGAACAAAGTTTGTTTCAAACTGATTTTAATAAAACACATTTCTTTTAAATAACCTCTTTAACTTTCCAAAAAACTCCTTTAACTCTACATAAGTAGAACAGTAAGACTTCTTCAAAAGTGCTGGCTCTAGGACATACTGACAAGATCACAAAGTACAGACCAGACCTCTCGTGCCTTGTCAGAATGTACAGGGAGGGCTCTGCTTTCTATTGCTGACGCTGTGGTGGGGGCTAACCAGGCTGCTCTGCCTCTCCACCTCGGTCCTTAATGGCAGCTGAAGGAGTGGGGCACTTCCCAGTTACTATGGTCAGAAACACCACCCTGGTAGCTTGTCTTATCTGCGTGGAATGGAGTGGAAGTGTCCAGTGATCTGGAACCATGTGCCAGTATTTTGTACATCACAGTTGATGTGACTAAGGGAGAAGAAGCTGTAGCTTCAAGGCCTAGGCCCTCCCTCTCCAGGGCTGTCATCAAAGTTACACTTAGGGACAAGCCTGGAGTCAGGACAGCCCCTGCCAAAGGCTGTAGAGCCACAATACTCTTTGCTTGGATTTAAGGAAAAGAGAGCAGAGATAATTTTTCCACTTTGTGAAGAGGGCCTGCCTGCAAACTACCTGCATGGGCTCAGGTTTCCTACAACCAGCTTTAACCAGGTGTGAGTGCCAGGTTCATGTTGGGGAGCAGAAAGACTCAGCTCTCCTATAGCCACCCTTGTGCTTCTGCACCTGTCTCACAGCTAAAGGAAAACAACATGGAAATGAATGGCAGGATACAAACACAGAAAGGAACAAGTAACAGACATGAGGCACCTCTGCTATTCAAGTTCTACATGAAATTGGTGACCAGTAACTGTCCCCTTAGCAACACCAGCTGAGAGTGTGTGGTCAGACTCTAGGCAGGAGGCTGGGATCCCTGCACATCAGCTCCTGTGTTCAGCTGCTTGCTCTGCTGCTGGAACTCCAGCCGGGTCTGGCGGTTGGACTCCAGCAGTTCCTTCAAGCAGATGTGTAGGTGATCATTCTTCTCCTCCAGGTGATCCAAGCAGGAGTTGATCTGGTCCAGCATGGAGTTTATTGCTGCATATTCTAAAAGCAAGGGAAATGAGAGACTGAACAATGTAAGTACAAAGTCACTGCAGTCAGAGCAGGCAGTGAGAGCTCTGGCAAAACATGCCCACAGCATGTGTCTTATTTGCCCCTGGGTGCGTGAACTAAAATGCAACTGCATCCTGCATGTGCTCTGTTCCCTGATCAAATTAGGCAAATGAGAAGCTGGAACACTGGTAACAAGATCTAAGGCAAGGTACCTGGGCAGTCCAAACCCTTGTGGGCACATCTGACAGCCTCAGATCTCACACACAAACAGCCAGCCATAGGCTGAGTGCTGACTGCAACAGTACCAGGTATATCCCACAGACAAGTCAGCCTTTTTAGCTGCCTTTGGAATCACCTTTCCTGACTGTACAGACACTTCATCAGCACGTTGTAGGGTTTATTTTCTGTGAACTGGGCAAGGCTTCCAGGCTGGGATGTGCTTCACTCAGACCTGGCTGGAGTCGGGCTGCCACAACACTGCAGCCATCATGGCTGTGGCAGGAGGGGATGAGCCCAAAGGTGCTGGTAGTGGCACCATTATTTCCACAGGACGGTAAGTGTTGGGCACTGAGTTCAGCCACAGGATTTTCATGCTCTATTAAGGCTTTGGGTACTTCTGATTAAACCTAGACTCACTGCAGACGATCCTGGCAGTTGATTCTCTAGGTACAGTTTCTTATTCACAGCATTGTTTCACGTGCAGCAGTTCCCCTCAGTACAATGGCATTTCACAGTGGTGTGTGTTAGCACTGTTACCCAGCTGAAGAATGCTGTGCTTCTGCAACACTTGCTTTTGGATTGCTCCAAGCAATATTCACACAATCCTGAAGAAGAACAAAAACCCAAACTGAAAAAACAGACAAACTGCTGAGGTTATTCAGGACCCCTGGGGAGCGGCAGGGGACCCCAGATGGAGCCAGTCCCATGTTCCTTCCTGAAGGCACACAGCTGGGTGAGTGCAGGGAGCAGAGGTGGAGCTGTGACCTGGGGGCTGATGTTTGTGAGGATCAGGGGCTGCAGGACAGGGAAGGATGCCTGTGTGGGTGGGAGAAGCCCACAGCTCATGGGCTGGGGCTTGCTCCTCTCCACCCAGCTCCTCTGAGCCCAGGGTGACACTCACAGTGCCTGGAACACTGAGCTGAAGGATGTGGGGAGGGGAGGGAGGATGAGGATGTGCTCTGGGCACCCTAGGAGGGTCAGGCTGTGCTGAAATCCCCCAGACCAGCCCTGTCCCTCTCAGCTGTCCCTTTGCCCCAGCACACCAGGTACAGGCACTGCCATTTCCAGCAGCTTTGAAAGAACTGTGAATATTTAAACATTGATGTCATTTGCATTATTAATAGCTAAGAAGTTTCATTATAAAAAAATAATTATCCTCCTTTTCTTATAACCACTTTGGAGCTGTTCAGAGTGTTGCAGCCTTTAATTCTTTGGAGAACTGTGTAATGTTGCATTTGAGCTCATTAATAAAAGTTTGGCCTTGTAGGTATACATAGAGGTGGCATTATGAGCGAGAGCACTGATGATGTTCTTGCATTTAAAAATCAATCCCACAAACACATGCTTTCCCAAAAGGTGGCAGATATCAGTATTTTTCAAACTGTCAGTATTTTTCAAGGTATGTGAGTTACAGCTCTTCATTTTGGTGCACCAAATTCCAGTGCAATGGTGAGCAGATCCCAGGCAGACATGGTAACTACTTCTGGCAAGAAGTCTGTAATCACAGCAGAAGCTTAATTTTCTCCATGCCTAAAACTCAAATGAGCATTATAGAATTTCTTCAGCTTTGGGAAATTAAAAAAATTTAACCATTTAAAAATAAGCTGTAAAAACCTTTGATTGTTTTCCGTTTGTTGCGAGCTTGGTGGATTTTTGTGGAAATATAACTACGTCCCTATTGGAAACACTGAGCAGGAGCATGGCAATTGCCTTAACTCCTCCATATTCTTACAAGAATAATTGACAAAAAATCAGGTTTCCTACTTGAGATGAAGGAAGAGATCCACAGCCTGAGCCCCACTGGACCAGGAAATAGCAGCAGCCCTTTATGACCAGCTACTGCACACAAAGCCCAATTAAATACAAGCTGAACAACCCCAATTAGTTAGGATGTACATCCAATTTAGTGACTTTCTCCATCACATCCAATGTGTCTCTTAGCTCTTCAAAATAATGAAATACAAATCACTGTGATGATGCAAAGCAGTGAACACACTTGGGGTGTGCAGAAATGATTGTCCTGTCAGCAGCTAGATCCCAGACACAACTCCTAAAATCACCTGTGTGGGTCACATCTGGGAACAGAATATTTTGGGAAACAGCAGAACCCAACTCCACCATTAAAACAGAAGAGTAGCAAAGTGCTTACTCTGAAAGAATTCCAGTTTTGAGTGACCTCTACGTCCGCATTACTGCTCCGCTGCCGTGTCACTTTCTCCACGGGCTGGTTCTAACCGGACAGGGCATATCAGAATCGGCATACCCAAGGTCATACCCAGGCACTGCAGAAATGCCCCGAAGTGGAATCTGCCAAGATTAAATTCCCTTTTCCATGCATGACAACTTCTCTCAGATCTGCCCACGTGCTCTGCCCTGTGGTTTCGAAACCTGAACATCCTCTTTCCCGACCGCACCCGGTACACCAACAAAGGCACAAGAAAAAAAATACATCCCAGGGCAGCACGTAGGAGCTCGCTGCCCCATGGCTGGGTGGGAATCAAGCCCTGCATCCCCTCAGCTGCACTGCCGTGCAGCGGGTGCATGGCTGGCAATGGGCACCGCTCTCGGCACAACATCTGGGCACACCTGGGCACATCTGGGCACACCTGCGCTCTGCCACCCGCAGCCCAGGGGACCAGGCCAGGCCATCCTGCGCCACGGGATCCCTTCCGAGATGGCGGCCCCGCTCTCCCCCACGCACCTTCCTCCTCGAAGGTGTCCCCGCCCTCGTCGCCCTCGTCGCCGGCGCCGCCGCCCAACACGTGCGGGTCTCCGTTGGGCCCCGACATCCCGCCGCGCCCGCCCGCGCCTCGGCGCCGCCCGCACGGCGCGCCCGTGCACGCGCGGGGCCTCCAGCCAATGGGAGGGCAGGGCGCCTTGCGCGTCACGCAGGCCGGCGCTGCGGAGAACTCTGTGGTTAGCGCGGAGGGCGCGGGGCGCAGGCGCGCGGGCGGGCGCGGCGAGCAGCGCTGGGCAGGGGCGGCCCCGGGAGTCAGCGCTGCGTTCTGCGTTCCTCGGGGATTTTTCCCAAACGCGTGCCCAACGCTAGGCTGTGTTCTTGCCCTCCCAAGTGTCCTCAGGTCCTCCTGAACTCCCCCGCTTAGGGGCCGCCATCAGCACTAAGCGCTTCTTTCCCGACACAAGTGGTGTTCTGTATGGATAAATCTGCATTCTCTCCCTGCGGGCCATCCCGTCCCGGCTGGGGCTTTGCTGCTGAGCTCCCAACTCCAGCCCTGTCTCCAGCTCTGCTTCGTCCACTAAGCGGCTTGAACCAGCCTCAGGTCACCTTCACACTCCTCTTCCCTAAAGCAACGATTCACTTTGCCCTTCCCTGTCTTTGGCCTGGTATCTGCCGCACCTTGAGGAGATCTCATCGCTGTGTGGTGCTTTCATCCCCGGGGGAGAAGACACTGGGATGAAAATAACCCACAATTAGAGCATTGATTCAAGCAGTGCTCCTGAGATCAAGAATTCTGTTATTAACTCGGTATTTGGGACAAAGACAAAAGAAAAGGTCATAATCTCGTTTAATGTTGCAGCCACCTCTCCATTCTGTGGGTATAACCCTGCTGTGCTGCAGAGTCAGGCTCGTGTTGCACTCCAAATAGGGAAATTGAATATAAGTGTAATGAATGGATGTAACCACATATTAATAAAACAGATGATGACTTTCAGTGTGGAGATGTGCGCTTGCATTGTGGGTATGTGCTGGTCAGAATCCACAGCCCCACCGGGCAGAGAACCACAGAATCCCAGAAGGGGTCAGGCTGGAAGGGATCACAGTGGATCACCTGGTCTCACCTTCCTGCTCAAGCAGGATCACCCCAGCGCACACGGCACAGGATTGTGTCCAGACAGTTCTGGAATGTCCCCAGTGAGGAAGACTGCACACCCTCTCTGGGCAAAGGAGGGTAACAGTGCTCATGTTCGGGTGGAACTTTCTGTGCATCAGTTCCTGCCCGTTCCTTTTGTTCTATTGCTCGGCACCACGGCCTCAGCCATTCTCTGCCCCCTCTCTGCAGACACTGAAAGATATCGATGAAATCCCCTCAGCTGCCTTTTCTCGCGGCTGAACAGGCCCAGTTCCCTCACCCTTTTAACTGATTCTTTCACTCCCACTTTAGACTCTGGTGTGTTCTCAGATTTGATAATCACAGGGCAGCGGGTCTGCCCCGTGTTGGGTGTCCCGCGCGGGGTGCGCCCTCAGCGGGCACGGCGCCCGAGCCCCGAGCCGCGGCCGTGCCGGGGCGGTGCCGCCGTGCCCGGGGCGGAGCGGCCGCTCTCCGCCCGCCCTCAGCCGAAGATGGCGGGTGCCGGCCGCGTCTGGCGGGTCGGAGCGCTGCTGTTGCCGCCAGCCTGGCGGCTGCGGGCCCCGGGACGAGCCTTCGGCGCCGCGGCGGGACGGGGAGGCAGCAGCGGCGGCGGCGGCCGCCTGGTGCTGGGCGCTGCGTTCGCGCTGGGCGGCAGCGCCGGGCTGTGCCTGGCGGCGCGGCAGCGCCTGCGGGAGCACTCGGCCGCTGAGGTAACGCCGGCTCCCCCCGATCCCCGCCGTGCCCTCCCCGAGGCCTGCGGGGACCCCGCTGCGGCGGCAGCCGGCCCCCGGGAGCAGCGGCTCCCCGCGGACCGAGCGGCTCCTTCTGCCCCGGTTTGAGTGAGGGAAGAGCTTGAAATGGTCTGGGAGGCCCCTGGCAGAGCCTTCCTTGAGGAGCTGTAAGGAAAGGCTGTCAGTGAGGGCTTCCTTGGGGGTGTGGAGCTTTTTCTGCTGCTGCTTTTTCGCAGCACCCGGGCAGGGTTGTGTAACAGTAAATTGTATAACTGATGTTCTGGTCGCCCTGGGCTTTCCCTGCCTTGTCCCAGTTGTGCCCAAGTTGCTTAATCCCAGGAATGCGAATTTGGGCAGACACGTGCCTAAAATCAAATGCACACTCTGCTCTTCCCACCATGTGGCCTCAACAGAGGCTGCTGTGAGGGAGGGATTGTCTTGTAAAGGCTTTATTTTTGTTTATTTGAATATTACTGCAAATGGTTTTGGTTTTCTATAAAATTCTCTTTTACAGAATAGAAACCATAAAGGGATAAACTGTCTGGATTTAACTTATTTTTTTTTTTCCTGGCTGTGAGTAGGAGTTTCCAGCGCATTAAATAGATGTATAGAGAAACAGGTTATTGGTCCCAAGGGATGGTGAATATTTAAATATTTGACGCCATTTAAAGCAAGCATTTGATAGCCAAGATATGCTCATGATCAGATGTTGACACTGAATGTCAGAACATTCAGGACAGAAATAAGGGTGGAAGGAAGGTAGTGTTTATGTTTTTAGCAGAAAATGGAATCTTCTGTTCTCTTTTTTCCCCAGCTGCCTGCAGGGAGCCTGCAGCTCACTCTCTACCAGTATAAAACATGTCCTTTCTGCAGCAAAGTCCGAGCTTTTCTTGATTATCATGGACTGCCCTATGAAATTGTGGAAGTGAACCCGATCATGAGGAAAGAGATCAAATTCTCTTCCTACAGAAAGGTGCCCATCCTGCTAGCCAATGCTGGGAGCCCTCTGGTAAGTCTGCCTGACTTGGAGCCTCAGCATGCAGAGGAATAGGTTTTGAAGAATTTCAATTTAACCAGTTTCTTTTAAATGGTTGCTTTAATCCTGTTTTTCAGCAATTGAACGACTCCTCGGTGATAATCAGTGCAATAAAGACCTACCTTGTTTCCAGGTAAGAAAACAGGGTAATGAGAGAAGGGCTGAATGTGTAGGGCCCAGGTTAAGTAGAGATTTAGAAGAGTGCTGTGAGTCTCTTGCTGATCTCAGGCTCTGAAGCTCTGAGTGACCTGAGCCTGCTTGTGATATTATGGGTGATGCCTTTATATGTTGTGATGTGTGTGATGTAAAGCAAAGCTTGTACCTTTCAGAAGTACTTTCTCATCTGTGAGATTCTGTTTGCACAAAACCTACTTAAATATGGACTAGTGTTAATCCTGGAACTGATCTTACAATTAGCCAGTTATAACATCTAGAATGAAATGGCATTGTTGTGCCTATGGCCTGTCAGTTAGGTCTGCTTGAGAATGGTAGGAAGTTTTATGTCTGCAGAAATTTTTGTTCTGCCACAGACAAAGGTCTGTGCACTAATAATAGTTATTTTCAAGTAGCTATTCCAGTCTTTTTTTTTTTCTTTTTTTTTTTTTTTTTTCAAATAGAATCTGGAACATTGTGCACTTAGTTTTAGAATAATACATTTTATAGTGTGTATCTTTCAATCTGGCCTTTGCTCTTGCTCCTTTTTTGTAGGAGCCAGATCAGTGCTGTGTTTCTTTTCACAGGAGGAATAGCTTAGAAGAAATCGTGTCCTTTTATCCAGCTGTTAAAACAGTGACTGAGCAAGGCAAGGAGGTGCTTGAGTATGAGAATAAATACTGGCTCATGCTGGATGAGAAGGAGACCAAGAGAGTCTATCCTGTCAAAGAAGTGAGAGTGTAAGTGCTCTTCAGTTTCTGGGCTCTCCAATTAGGGTCACAGCCTGCTCCATATATATTCAGGGTTGATGTAGATGTAAAATCCCATTAGGGCTGACAAGTCTTGTCACACCCCTGTTAGTGTTTCAAGCCTCATTATTTGGTTTGCTGTGTTTGTTAGATAATTTAAAACAAAGCTGTTAGCCTAGTTACCACCACCATGGTCACACAGGCCTTCAGCTGCCTCCAGTTTTCTTCCTGGCCTTTCCTTTGTGCCACAGAGGAATGCTATTTGAAGGAGTTTCCCTTCCTGCTTTATTTCTCATATTGGGCAGAGAACCTAGTGCCCTATCTTAGTCTTAAATTCAGTTTGAGATTGGAGGAGCCTTGCCAAAGATAATGATGCTGAGTGTGTTATAGAGAGGTCACCAGAGTACCAGGGTAGGAGTGTTTGATCTTGGAAAGATCCCTGGCTAAGGCAACTGTGATCCTGCCTCCTGTAGCCCTTCTATCTGTACCTCCTTCACTGAATACTTTCTTTTGACTACTTGCAGGGAAGAAATGAAGTGGAGAAAATGGGCAGATGATTGGCTTGTTCACCTCATCTCCCCCAATGTTTACCGCACCCCCAAAGAAGCCTTGGCATCTTTTGATTACATTGTCCGTGAGGGGAAGTTTGGCACTCTGGAAGGTCTCTTTGCCAAATACGTGGGGGCTGTTGCCATGTTCTTCGTTAGCAAGAGGCTGAAGAAAAGGTTGGTATCACTAAGCACCAAGTACACAAGAGGAGAAATAGCTCCTCCTTAGCTGTGAACCCCTTAGCTGTCAAAGGGCAGAACCTCAGTTTTAAACAGAACCATTTAATCGTGTATGAGTAACAACTGTACTTCTGTAACTGGAGGTACTAAACCCCTCTATTCATCCACTATTTAATTACTGACTGCCCCTTCAATCTGAAATACTGTCCTTACTTGCAAACCAAGACCAGCCCATAAGGTGAGAGGTGATAGAAGGTTAAAGAAAGAAACAAACTTTTGTGTTCAAACTGATCCTTCTCTTTATGCAGACACCAGCTTCGAGATGATGTCCGAGAAGATTTGTATGAAGCAGTTAACAAGTGGGTGAAAGCTGTTGGCAAAAATCGACTGTTCATGGGCGGGAACCAGCCAAACCTCGCTGACCTGGTAAGGGCTTCATCCCTGTGGTTATTGTCAGGTGGATCAAAAATCATCCTGCTGCTCATCTCTGTGAAATGGTTAATACGAGTACAGGCAGAGAAGCTGAGCTACATGAGATACACTGTCCTTTGTGCAGTAATACAGTTCTCACATGGTGGGGACTTCCCCATAACTGCACATAGATCCTGATCCTTCCTTACTGTTTCCTCATGGAAAAACATGCATATTCTTAATTACCTTTCTGCCATTCTCTCCTTGCTAATCAGAAGGATGGATCAGATGGCAGGACAGGGGAAGAGCCATACTGGCTTGGCTGTTGAGACACTTGTACCCTAAGCCATTCTCCACTGCTTTCTCAGTGCTGTTCTGACCTCTCTGCTCCGCACAGGCAGTGTACGGGGTGCTCCGGGTCATGGAAGGGCTGGAAGCCTTTGATGACATGATGGTTCACACCAATATTCAGCCTTGGTACCAGCGCATGGAAGAAGTCATTGAAAAAACTGGAGTTGCAATCTGATGCCAGCTGCAGCTGCCCCCCTGAAGTACTTGCATGGTGAAAACTTCAGAAGAAATGGCTTTTATTTTTAGAGTTGACTGGTCACACCTAATGGACTGACATGTGGGCACAGAGACCACCCCGTTTGGAACATCATGTTGCTGTGAGAGAAGGATCCAGCTGGGTGTTTGTAGAAGGATGGGGACAGGTAAAAGAATGGGATTTTGGATGCTGCTGGAAAGGAGACACTCTAAACTGAAGAATGCAGCAAAAAGGCTTCTTTCAGACAAGAGACACCCTCAGAGCAGGTTACTGTAAAAGCAAGATGCTCGTGGCTGGTGTTATGGCTGTGTCAGATGTAGGCCTGACCAGCTTTTGCCTCATGCTGTCTTCTGCTACTCATCCATGTCACCTGAAGTGTTTTCCTGACTGAGACACTGGATACTGTTTTTAAGTGACAATATTTCCTGCAATAGAATCTTGTAAAGCTAGTGCTAAGGGGACTGGAGGAATCTGCAGTGCTGGAGAAGGCACCCTTCCTCTGACAGCAGCGAGGCTGCGCTCAGCAAGGCATCTGCTTTCACTCTTCCATGTAAACGGTTCTCTCAGGATTTGATTCTGTACAGTCTGCAAGGATAAAGGCTGGCTTTATTCTGTCTCCTTTGTGAGATCTGTGTTCTTACCTTACCCTTTACACCCAAAGAACATGGCCTACACTGAAATCACAAATGCAGAGCAGTTATTGGAAAGGCTTGTCTTGCATGAGATCTCTCTGGTATATTCCTGAAGATCAGTTTGTTCTTGTTTTAGGAAAAGAAGGATTAAGAGCCATCTGCATGGCCAGGGGATCTCTAGATGTTTCTGTCATGCAAGAGTAACAAAGGATTTGCTGAAGTGGCAGTCAGATTAGGAGCTGTACCTGCAGCTAAATCTTCTGAGCTGTGCTGGGTAGAATCATAGAATGGTTTGGGTTGGAAGGGACCTTAAAAAGCATCTTGTTCCAACCTCTGCCATGGGCAGGGACACCTTCCATTAGACCAGGTTGCTCTAAGCCCTGTCCCACCTGACCTTGAACACTTCTAGGAATGGGGCAGCCACAGCTTCTCTGGGCAAGCTGTGCCAGTGCTTCCCCATCCTCACAGGGGAGAATTTTTTTGTAAGATCCCAAGTAACCCTGTTCTCTGTCAGTGGGAAGCCACTGCCCCTTGTCAAAGTCCCTCTCTAACCGAAGAAACCTTATTTGTCATAGCAAGTGATAATGCAGGTTCAAATGTGAGTGGCCCTCTGCACAGCCCAAGTATCCTTAATTACTACCTTGTTCAAGTACTGTTTCCCTAGAACAGGCAGGTTTCAGGGAATCTGATTTGTTGTGATATTTCAGGTGCAGCTGAAGCTGGTCTGTAAATACAACTGCTTGTCCAGTGTGTGTTCAGGGAGTGTACCTTTATTGGTTAGAACAATGGTGGTGATAGAGATTTGGGGTTTTTTCTGAATGGAGGACTAGCTCCAAATTCAGTTATGATCTGACATTGAAGGGAGAAAGAAAATGTTTACAGTACAAATGGCTGCGTGGCTGCTTTGACTTCTATTTCTTTAAACTGTTCTGTACTGAAACTTGTGTTCCATAGTATCAACAGGCAATGTTCTTTTAATGAATTACATAAAGCATGCATAAACAGGAGGTTGAAGAAACCCTTGATGATAATTTCAGCATCCACCTCAACCTGAGAGGGAGGAAGAGATTTTCATGTTAAATGAGGATCTGAAGCACCAAGGGCTCAGTGATTCCACTTCTCCTTGCTGTGGTACATGAATCAGTCCTCTCAAGATGAATATCCGTAACACTACCATGCCAATAATATTACATTAAATAAAGATTGTTTCAGGATTTTGTATCACCTTTTATGGAGTCTTAGAATGTTAAGGGATTGGAATGGACCTTAAAGATCATCTACTCCCAACCTCCCCTGCCATGGGCAGGGACACCTCCCACTAGACCAGATGCTCAAGGCCTTATCCAACCTGGCTTTGAGCACTGCCTGGATTGGGGATCCACAACTTCCCTGAGCAACTTGTGCCAGTGTCTCACCACCTTCACAGGGAAGATTTTCTCCCTAATATCTAACCTGAATTTCCCCTCTTTCAATTTTCACCTCGTCCTATCGCTACAGTTCCTGATGAGGAGTCCCTCTCTGGCTTTCTTGTAGCCCCCTTCAGATCCTGGAAGGTGCTCTGAGGTTTCCACATAACCTTTCTCTTTTCCAGGCTAACTGCCCCAGCTCTCTCAGCCTGTCTTCATAGGGAAGGTGCTCCAGTCCCCCTATCAACTTCATGGTCTCCTCCGACATTTCCACGTCCTTCTGTTGAGGACGGCCAGAACTGCACATAGCTCTGGTTAACAGTAAAAGTGGCTGTGTACACAATTCTGGTGTCACCTTTAAGACGGTAAAACTCATCTCAAAGACAACGCCAAGAAAATTGACTTATTAATCCACTTATTTCATCCTCTTTTCAGACCTCCCCGTCTCTGTACGGACGAGCAGCCGCTCCTGAGGGCGCCGTGCGGGGGCCGGGGGTGCCCGTGGCGGCCGGGCAGCCGCTGTGCCGCTCGTGCCGGCCGCATGGAGCTGCGGGCGTTACCGGGGGCGGTTACCGCCGCTCAGGGCCGTTCGAATCGCCCAATGGTGGAGCCGCGGGCGGCACGCCGGCGACGGCGGCCGGGACACTGCGGCCGCTCCTCCTGTGTCTGGTGCGGACAAGGTGCCCAGAACTCGGCCCACGGCCGCCCCTGCTCCACCCGCCGCGCTGATGGGGAACTGAAGTGGCTGCGGACCCCGCGCGGAGCTTCGTGGTGAGAGCGCCGGGCCTGCGAGGGCAGGGCGGGGCGGAGGGGCCCTCCCGTGTGTGGCGTCCCCTCGCCGTGTGGGCGTTTCCTCGCCCTGGAGGGTGTCTCCTCGCCGTTTGCGTGTTCCCTCACCGTGTGGGTGAGGGCCGAGCTCCGGGAGTTACTCCTTCCTCCCTGCCTTTCGGGCTCCTTCCTGCTGGCCGGCCAGCGGTGGCCACGGGCTCGGGATAACGGCGCGGCGCGGGCGGGCGTTGGGAGCTGCCGGGCCCCGCTGGCTGAAGGCCTGCCCTGCTCGGGGCTGCGAGCAGCTCACGGCCCCAGACCGCGTCTCTGCCAGCCTGAGGTGACCACAGATTCCATGGAAAACCTGCAGAGACCGCAGGCGGAATTAACACTTACGAGTCAGCCTTGTTGCTAAGGGAGGCATAGTGACGTTTGGTTGTCACTCGTGGTGATCCAAAGGCTCTGTCAGTGCCTGTCCTGCTCCTGAATGAAAAGAAGTGCTGCTGTGTTCCTTAAAAATTGCGGCTAGAATATGAAAGTTTGTAAGTGTATAATGCCATCATGTAATTGTTCAAAACATTTCCGCTGTTTAAAACAATTTCCATTGTCAGTATGTTGGGAATTATTATAGTCTGTCCTTCCCTCATCCTCTGCTTTACAGAGGAAACTAGGCCACACCAGCTTTTGGGTTTTGGGTTCATGCACTTCATATGTTTTAGTCTTGGTATTCTCTTAAATCAAAAAGAAGAGGTTGTTCATAAATTGGCACCTTTTCCTCTAAATCATTTTGTTATTTCTGCAACAGGTGTCTCTCATCTATCAACGAAGAAAGTTCCTCCTCACCCAAGACCTTATCCAGGAAAGTCAAAAGCTTGAAAGTACCTGTAAGTAACTTTACCTAGGCTTACAATATCCTTTCTGCCAGAATCAGGTTAGTGCTGCTGGTGGCTTTGTGTAAGATTTGCGATTGCATTATGCCTTTACATCAACTGAAGCTCCAAGATGATGACCTTGTGTCTCTCGGCTTTTCTGTGTTGTGTCAGGTTATGGTTATGTGTTTCTGTGGAGGTTAAAGAAATGCTGTGATGCAACGGCTTTTAAGGATTTATGCTTAAAAAGATGCTCAAAGTTAAGCACGTATGAAGGAGCATACAGGTTCAGGGTTCTAGGATGGATTGGTATGATGATATCCTGATAGTTTTTCTTAACTGTTCACTTAATTCTCCTCTTCTCCCTGCTTCAAATTTCTCTTTGTAATCAGATTTTGTTCATTCACTGGGAACCCTTGATTTGCTCACTTGCTTTAAGACTTTGAGCTTCAATGATTCTTACAGACATCTGCTATTGATCCAGCTGTGTTTGATCTTCACTAGCCAAGTTAAAAGCAGAAAATACTGGAAGCAGAGGAATTGTTTGTGTTAATTCTGGCTTTACGGAAGAATAGTGTGAAGTTCAAAATGGCAGATGCTACTGATAAAAAGCTCAAATGTTAACTGAGGCTGGCCACTGTTTCTCTCTGAACACTGAAGGAAATGTTATTTCCAGTTTCCGTATTCACAGGTTTCCCTTCATTGCATTTCCCTTTCTCATTTGTGGGAGAAGAGCCATGAAGAACCGTTGCTCATCTCCCCCTTTGCACGTCCATGTGGATGAAAACACCCCTGTCCATGTGCATATTAAAAAGGGGCAGAAAACCACACCTGCAAAATGCCAGGTAGGAGTGTGTACCTGGTTGGTTGTAAGGGCTGCAGAGAAGGTGAATGGCCCTAGAAGCATCACAAAATCTTCCAGGTCTGTTCTACTGTTGTGTTAGAGCTGTGAGACTTAATTTCATATTCAGTGGTGAATTTGCAGTGATGCATTTGCTATGTTGATTTGTTGAAAGTTGATTTTGGTGTGATACAGAATTGCTTTTCATGTTCATGTGAGAAATGTTGCTTCCAATGTGATATCATTTGGAGGATTTTTTCCCTTTTATTTCTTGGATGTGTGTCCTGATAATGTTTTCTATTTGGCTTCATGTCTGTTTTTGAGGAAAGCTTTGAGGAGAGATAGTACTTAGGCATTTCAAGTAGCATCTTGATTGTATTAAAATAAATGTGCTTAGAAAAAGAATCTTCATTCGGACCATCTTCTGGCATTAAGGACATTCTCTGTCCACTGAGTTCTGCAGCCAAGAAGATCTCTTCCCAGGCTTATCCACAAAAGGCACAAGGCAAAACTGAAGCTGAGGTTGTAGCTATCCCATTTCCTCTTTTGTTGCTGGATTTTTGTGGAAAGTTGTTCTAAAAAGTTGATGGAAGTTGCTATCTCATTCTTCCTATCTACAGACATCCTGTTCTAAGTCTTCTATTAATTATGTGTTTGTTGCTAATGGCAAATTTCATAATGGGATGGAATGACAGTGAAAATAATGAGTCCTATGAATTAATTGCCAGTAGGGAATGTTTACAGCATCAGATTTTTCTCTAAGGTTAGAATTGTGCAAAAACATCTTAATTCTCCTTCAGTAACAGCAGCTCAAGTTCAATACAAATAAATGTGGATCTTCTAGTTGACTGCAGAGTAGGGAAAACACTTCCAGGGCTTTCCAAAATCGATCATAGTGTCAAATGATATAGCTGCTTTTTTCTGAGGTGAATCTGGGATGGAGAAGGGACCTTCCAGGGATCTGTCAGGTCCTACATCCAGCCATCCTGTCAGCTGAGTGTGCAATAACCTTTCTTTCTGACTGGTGTCAGCTTCCTTTGGTGGCTGCTACCTCATCTCACCTGATGCATCCTGTGAAGCACTACTGATAATTCTGTATTAATGATCTTTCATTTGGTTTTGCAGCACTAAAAATTGCAAATGGTTCTTTAAGGGTCCATAATTTATTTTATTTTCTCTTTCTTTAGCAAAAGCACAAACAGAAATCTAAAGGGGACAGTGTGCGAGCTGTACGGGTGAAAACTAAGGCCCCTTGGATACCCCCAGGCAAAACAAGCACTCGTGATACCATCTTGAAGTGGGAGGTACAGCTGGTTTTGCTCTTTAAAACAAACTTGGAGGTTTAGCCAAGGTGGAAGAGAGCAGTTGTGTAGTGAGAGATTTGGACAGATCTGAAAGAAGGCTACCATCCCCTACCATCTATTTGAAGTGTCTTCTGCAAATCTTTTTCTCTTTTTAATGTAGAAAAACTGAGAATTCATAAACATCCTGTGGCCATGCCTTTTTGTCTCTAGAAGCCAGACACATTTATTTATTTTTTTATTTTAATTTTACTGGTGCACTTCAAGATCTCCTCTGGAGGCTCAGTGAGGGACTGCTGGTCTCAGTGTCTTCTAAAGCATGGAGCGTTTGTGTAGCATTGCGTCATAGTATTATTTTACGCAAAACTACATGGATGTCAAATCAGTGAACAACAATAGGATTTGAGTCAGGTAGATTCTTACATCAAGCATTTTCCATTTTATATATGCTACAAAATTTAATGGAATTACTTGCATGATTATAAAGCAAAAATAAACTTTAGAACCACAGAATCATTAAGAATCACAGGATGAACTAGGTTGGAAAGACCTCTGAGATCATCAAGTCCAACCTATGACCTTAACACCTCCTCATCAACTAAACTATGGCACTGAGTGCCACATCCAGGCTTTTTTTAAACACATCCAGGGATGGTAACTCCACCACCTGCCTGGGCAGATGATTCCAGTGACCAATGACCCTTTCAGTGAATAATTTTTTCCTGATGTCTAACCTAAACTTCCCCTGGTGCAGCTTGAGTTTGTGTCCTCTCGTTCTGTCAGTGGTTGCCTGGGAGAAGAGACCAACCCCCAGCTGGCTACAGCCACCTTTCAGGGAGTTGTAGAGAGTGATAAGGTCTCCCCTGAGTCTCCTTTTCTCCAGGCCAAACAACCCCAGCTCCCTCAGTTGTTCTTCATAGGGCTTGTGTTCCAGGCCCCTCACCAGCCTTGTGTTTGAGCATCTCAACGTCCTTCCTAAACTGAGGGCCCCAGAACTGGGCACAGCACTCAAGGTGCAGCCTCACCAGTGCCATGGGGGAAGAATGACTTCCCTGGTCCTGCTGGCCACACTGTTCCTGATACAGGTATAGTGCCTTCTTGGCCACCAGGGCACACTGCTGGCTCATGTTCAGTTGGCTGTTGACCAGTAAGTACCCCCAGGTCCTTTTCTGCCCAGCCACTGTCCAGCCACTCTGCCCCCAGTCTGTAGCACTGCAGCGGGTTGTTGAGGCAGAAGTGCAGGATTTGGCACTTGGACTTGATAAAGGTTGGAAAGGACATCCAGGATCACTGAATCCAACCTTTAATCCATCACCACCTTATTCAGTAAACCAGAGCACTGAGTGCCATGTCCAGTAGTTCCTTGAACCACCTCCAGGAATGATGACTCCACCACCTCCTTGGGCAGCCCTTTCCAATACCTGACAGCTCTTTCCATGAAGAATATCCCCTGACACAGCTTGAGGCCATTTCCTCATGTCCTGTCACTTGTCACCTGGGAGGAGATACTTCTTTTTTTTTTATACTTTGAGTAAGTTAATTGACTATGAGTTGTTCATTGATTTGGGATGTGGATTCTGTGTATCAATTCCAAAGCATCTGGTTTAAGTTTTATTCCAATATCTTCAGGTCAAGATGCAGCAAATGGAGGAGCAGGAGGAAATGACAAAGCGTCTCCTGGAGGAGCAGAAGGAAGAACTGAATGAGATGACACAAGAGCTGGTACAAACAGAGAATGAGAACACGCGGCTCCGGCGCAACATTGAACGCATAAAGGAGGAGAAGGACCTGACTGTGTAAGAAAGCTTCACTTCTCACTGTCCCTGCACTTGTGGTATCCACAGGCACCTCCCTTCTTTACTGCTGACATGATCAGAGGTTGTAGCTGCTGCTGAAGAACTGATGCACTTGGATTTTTTGTCACTTTTAGAAGGGGGTTCCAGGTTGCAATAGCTGCAGAGAAGGGCTCTAGCATGATTTTTGGAATGGAAAAAAATCCCTATTTTGAGAGGAACCCGAGAGCAGTTGGCTTGTGTGGAGGGTCAGCTAGCTCTGCCGTTAGTATTTTGAAGATTAAGGGATTCTGCTTGAATCGTGATGATATTGATAGAACAATAAATGAATAAACATGGAGCTGAAAACTAGAGGAGAATTTTTTACCTTTGTGAAAATCATACAGAGCCAGGAGTGACAGCCCCTGAGAGGACTGAACCATGGGCTTTTTTCTTAGTGATCCTGAAGGTCTGCAAGTCTGACATTTTTGCATCTGTTTGTATCTAAAGAATTAGTGGAGTTTATGTCTCCAGGGAGACATTAGTGTTTTAGGAGAGTTAGTTTTAATTTTCCTTAAGAAATATCACTTGGAAGCTAATATTTTCTATTCCTTTCTCAGAAAAGTCTGGGAATGCTTCTGAGATTACAAGTGCTGGCTAAAAATGTTGAGCTGCATATCTTGGTGTGCTCTTCTGTTTTTTGTTTGGCCATTTGGAGTCTTATTCCTGGTGTGGCATAAGTGCCCAGGAAAAGCACAGCATTGTGTTTTGGGTTTAGCAGTGTGTTCACTTTTGGTATAAGCCTGATTTGTTCCCTCTAAATGTCATAGCTGTGATCTTAGCAAGCTCCTGGTGTCTGCTTACTGCCTTTTCCACACTGAAAGAGGGTGGATCTTAAGCAGTTTTTGTTTAGAGATTTTATCCTCAGATTTGAGCTTTTTATGAATTTTAACTCAATCAACTCTATATCCATAGTGTCTGGTAAAGCTGCCAAAACTTCTTGTTTCTCTGATGGCTGAATTCTCCTTGCAGGCTGCAGAAGGAGTGCTTGCAGCAGGAGAAGGAGTGTTTGCTGTCCAAGCTGAATGAAGCAGAAAGGGATGGAGCAGCAGCTGCCAGACAGATCCATGCCCTGAAAAATACCATTGGGAGACTCAACATTGTAGGTGTCCCTTTTTGTTCTTGCCTTTACTATGTTGTCCTATTATATGGCTGTCTTTAAAAAGTAATGTTATAGTTGCTAATCCAGCAAAATCTAAGGAAAAGTGGAGGAACTTCACATCCTTAAGGTGTTTGCTGGCTTGGTTTTAAAGTGGGGTATTTACTTCCTGTTACCTTCTGCACAGAAGTGAACAATTACATCCTTTTGTTTATGTTTAATGGGTTTTGAGTTATTGTGTTTTGTTTTTCTCATTACCTTATTTATTTTTTTAATTAATTTGTTTGTTTAATGTTTTTCCTTCAGGAGAAACACATGAGTAGCACTGATATAAATGCTCTTACAAGACAAAAAGAGCTGCTGCTCCAGAAATTGAGCACCTTTGAAGAAACCAACCGGACACTCCGAGAACTTCTTGCAGAGCATCAGTCTCGGGAGGTGAGAGCTGCTGGGTATGGAACCTGGCTGGTTACAGGAGGCTGTGTTGTCTCGTGGGCTGGAAGGGAATTTTGAGTTTGAAATCTTTCAACTCTTTTTTCTTAGCCCTGCACTAGACCATGTCAACCCATAAATGTTGGATAGTTTTTATTTGGGTTTTTTTCTTTATCTCTGCCTAATTCATAGAGTGAGACTGGCTTTTCTTCTCTGAGGATAGTAGAGCCTCTAAGTCTTTGACTGCATTAAAAGGTTCAGGCCCTGCTGTGCTGTCAGCTGTCTCCTCTGGATACAGCTGTATCTGCTGATCCTGCTGGTCTCAGACGCTGCTGCTGCACTTGGATTGCTGGAGACTGAGGACTTGATATGGCCTCAAGTAATAGAAGCCTATGGATATTCAGAACTTTGATTTTGTAGGCTCTGAGGGCAACAACAGAGAAATTGGAAACAATTCTGTGCTGCATGTACAGAACCATTCTCTGCTGTTCATAAGAGCAATAGAAAAATGAAATTTCTAGTTTTTATGTAGTTTATATTCCATTTCAGCAAAAGCAGGCTGCTGGTGGTAACAGTTACCTCAGCCATCAGTGAGGTTGGATTAAAGGTCTGAATTCTTCCACATTACTTTCCCTGAGTAGTGGGAGAGTTCAGAATGATCTTACATTGCCATTGATCTTACATGCTTTTTATTTTAATCTTTGACTGGGAAGTGGAAGAGCTTTCTGAGATGGATAATGATATGTGAAATATTTAACGAATGAGATGTTTCTGTATATCTTCTAAGAATTGCTGCTGCAGCTGGGAGGAAATAGTTGATTTTCCCAGTTCCATTTAAAGAACCTGTATAAAATTGACTTTTTAGTTAACAATTTTTCTCATATATTTATTTTGTAGAAAGATGCCCAGAAGGTAATGGATCGGCAAGCAATGCTGCTGAAAAGGCTGTCTGACTTAGATGCAGAGAACATGGTAAGCAAACCACAATCTCTCATTTCTTTAATGATGCAGCAGAAAGATCTAAAATGAGAAGCCCTTCTTTGTCTTATATTCCACTGTCAAATCTTACTCTAGTGCCTTTTAGGTCAATAAAATAATTATTTGAGCTTTTGTGGTAATCAGAGCTATTACATTGCTCCTCTGGTTAACAACCTGTATTTAAAAGTGGGTAAATTTTCATTGCCTTTGAAATATGGGGGATTAGAATGGGAATAATTCCATGTATTGGGCTCTGTTACTGAATGAGTTACCTTGTGCCAGTTTTTGTTAATTTCCTTCTCTGAGACAAGAGTTCTTGCATTTGCAGAAGCTACAAAACTGTGAGATGTAGGTAAATGCTCTTTTTAGTCTGTAGAGTGTATGTGGTCATGACTGGATATCCTGTGCCCTGTTGCACAAATTTATGTGTATCCCTTTTGCTTCCTGCTTGAGTAGAATGCATCCTGTTTTTCTGGGGATGAGTTTGCTGTTGTTGTGGATAACAGACCATGCCACAGATCAGGTGGTCTTGACAGGGAGGCAGTTACACCTCTTGTCTTCTACCTGCCATCCTACATCTACATTTGTTCCTGAACATCTGCATGGTGTTTGTTTTTCCAGCAACTTCAGATCAGGCTTCAGGGAAAAGAAAAGGAAGTGGAAACCCTCACACTTCAAATAGTGGCAGAAAAGGTAATTTAGTTTTTCTATTTTTCCCTCTCTTCTACTTTCCAGTTCTGTAAAACCACAGGCAGTCCAAAAGATGAGGTTGTTTATAGACTGCTGTTTTGTGATCAGGTGACTGGCTTGCTTATAAAATTAGGCAGATATCAATACTCACACCATTGTGTGTTCCATATTCTGCTAATAAGACACCTGTGATGTGTGACACAAGGATGGATAGGCAGAATTCTCTTTGCTTGGGCACTGAATTGCCATTCTGTTTAAGGTCCTGTTTGTTCCCAATGGCAAATTCCAATCTGTTCCTTCGTTTAGGAAGTAAAGTGGAAATGCAGTGGAAGAGATCAGCTATGAAGGCTATTTTGCTCTAGAATATACCTTTCAGGCCAGTCCTTCACATGTGTTGTAAAATCAATGGCTGCTCATTTGGTCCCTTTTTGTTGGACTAGAAGAACTGTGAGGGTCCACCTGGAGGTGGCTGGAGATCATTCAGTGAAGAAATCTGAGATTACTACTGCATATTATAAAGTGTTCCTTCTATTAGCTTGTTGAGTAAAAACGTGTTTGTCTTGTTCCTGCTTATAGGAACAGGCAAAGAAAGCATTTGAACTTGCCAGATCCTTGGAGTCTGTGAAAGCCCATTTGCAAGCCCAGGTGCGGAGCAGAGACGCTGAGAACAACCGTCTGACCTCACAGCTGCGGGTATGTCTGCACTGCTCCCTGGGGATTGACTCTTCCTTTGCTCCCAGGGACTGAATTCACTCACACGGGGAGTAGCAGAAGCTTCTTACAGAGTCTGGTTGACTGAATTATTGACTGGTGATGTTTATGGCATTAACACACAGCGTGATTTTCAAATTAGTAAGAAAAGAGAAATCTTTTCACTTTTGAGGCATGAGGCAAAATCTTAGCCTGCAGGTCTATGTACATTAATTAGATTTTCTTTTTCCTAAGTTAGTTACTCCATAATTATTGAAAAGATGGCTTTGGTTTAGTCAAGGATCAAGACAAACTGAAACTATTTCATTTGCTTTTTTGGAAAAATGCTGTGCCAGTTTGATCACCCTCATTCATCTGTTCTCTAGTATAAATGAGGAGGAGAAAGTTCCTCTGGTTGATTTTGATAAGACTTTTATATTTAGCATATGTTGGGAGGATGTTACAAGGAACATAAATGTGTTAATAGTTTAGAGGAGCTTTAATCTGTTCTAGTAAGAGCTGCATAAAGCAACATTGTTATACACAAACATTTCATCAATAAAAAGAATTTTCTCAGGTAGATCAAAAGACTGTTAAAACAGTATTTATTTTGGTCAGGAGAGAAATCAGTATTTTAGGAAGCAGCAGAAAGAAGAAGGGAAGACTCTTGGAAGAAAAGGAAGATGTCATGCTGCCATCTCTTTCAGCATTTAGACAGGATTGTGTAGGTGAAATCTGACTGCAAATACCTCCAGGCTGAACAGTGGGGATTTGTGCCTGGTTCTCATCACCATTTCTAGGAAATTAGTTGCTGCTTTGGATTTGCAGGTGTAATATGGACATTAATCCATGGTGGGTTTTGTTCCCTCGCAGAATACAGAGGCCAGTGAAAATCAGACTAAGGGAGAGATGGAGCTTCTTCTGGAGCAGCTGCAAGACCTGAGATGCAAATCAGAGTGTGATAAAGAGGCCCTGAAGAAAGCAGTCCGTGCACAGAAAGAGCGGGCGGAGCGGAATGAGGAGTATGTGCAGAAACTGACTGCCCAGCTAGCAGAAAAGGTACCTGGCTGAAACAGGAGAGGCCTAGTTTGAGGTCATGCTTTTAAACTGTTGACTCTAGTAGCAGCCCTGGGGAGACTAATGAAATTTATTTCTGTCTTGATGCCATGGCCCATTTATGCCAAGTTTAGAACAAATCCAGTTTGCTCAGCTGTCACTGTATTCACTGCATGTCCTAAGTTAAGGGCATCTCTGTGTATTGCCTGCATATCTCACACCAGTGATGATTTTGCCTTCTCCCTTACTTTTTTCCCTCTTGTATTTCCCTTGTCTGACAGGAAAGCGCTGTTGCTGAGGCCCAGTGCAATCTCGAGTCCTGGAGGAATCGCTGCAGCAAAGCAATGAAGGAGAAGGATGACCTTGAACTGGAAGTCGTTACACTGAACAGGTTAGAGTAAAATCAGTGCAGAGAAAGAAGCATGAGTGGGGATGAGTTCAAAGTTCAAGGATAAATTAATTGAATAATAGCATTGAAATTAATATTTTAATTGGATTACTTGTAAATAACCAAGCAAAACCAGCACTGCCTAAGGGCTAGAGCAGAGTTTGAAGAGGTGGAGAGAGACATGTGACTTCTGCTGCTGACTTGCCACAGCAAAGGCAGACTCTTTAAGCTTTGCTGACTCTTAAAACTTTTCTTTTGCCATTTCATAATGCTTTCCATTAAGATTATTTTTGTTTTGAGATCTTTTTGAATAACTGGAATGGAAGATATGAAAAGAGATAAGTAGTATAGTTGATGCCAGTTTTGTTGTGAAGGTAAATAAATATTTTGGTATCACTGCAGTACAGATGTTGATGTAGGGAAAAGTTAAGTAGGTATGAGGTGAGAGAGGCATATCTTTATCCTGTGCATCTTTGAAACAATTCATTTGAGCTCCAAGGGGACAACTCCAGTGAATTTCCAGGTGGTATAAAAAGATTGAAGTAGTCAAACAGTGTTAACAGAGAGGTGTGCATACATGACTGGAGAAGGAAGATGAAAGGATAGGGAAAAGCCATGTTTCTGAGGCTACTTTTCAAAGGTTAGGAGCCTTACTCTTCTTGTCACTTAAGGATTAATTTTCTTTCTGTGTGGTAGCCGTGTTGCAGACCTGGTGGAACAACTGGCAAAGATCCAGGAACAGACACGGGACGAAAACGAAGCTTTGGTAGATAAAGTACAGCAACTGACTGGAGAGAACAATGCTTTAAAGAAAGACAATGAAAAACTAAAGGTCAGTGACTCTGAGGGTTTGAAGATTAAATGCTAGGAGGAAAAGAAGGTGGAATTATTATTGGCAGTCTATTGAAGTCTGAAAAGTTTTGGCAACTTGCATGGACAAAACTGTATTTTCTTAGTCCAGGCAACATTTGACAGCTCACATGGCAGGTGCTTCTGAGCACTCAATGGAAGATGTTTTCTTTTTTTCAGGCTGCTCTGATTTCAATGGAGGACAAGCTGAACCAAGGACAGATGGAATTGCAACATCTCCAGAGCTCTGTCAGGAGCTACGAAGGGTTGATTGAAACCTACACAGCACAGGTGGGTCTCAGAACCTTCAGCCCTTGTACAAAGGTGTTTTCTCCTTCCACTGTGGCTTATTCTGTAATCCCTTAGCTATTGCCAGCTGGAGCAGTTTCAATTACTCCAAGGCATTGCAAACGTGTGTTGAAAACTATTTATAACAGATGAAGTCTGGGGTCTTTTTTTGAATGTCCAGGCACAGATGGCCCGAAAGGATGCAGATGATCTGGCAGCAAGACTGGAGAAGTGTGAAAAAGAGAACCAGAGAATAAAGGATGAAATGAGCAGGGAGATTGACGAGGTAACTATCCCTCTAAAGACATTTTGTAGATATTCATGGGTCTTAGTGTTCTGAATCTAGTGAAAAACAGCTGTGAATAGGAAATAAAAGGCTTATCTTGATTCTGCCTTTTGCATCAGTTTTTTCTCAGGGCTTGTTCAATGGGTTTTGCAGAATGAACATTTAGCAGCTTCTTTCTGACTATATGGCATTCTTCAGAGGTGTATAAATTATTTAGTGTGTCCCTTGCTGCAGAAATAGTGCTTTTGAACAGTGGATTAGGTAGGTTACACCGTTATCTGATGTAGAACAGCTGACCTCAGAAGCAGAGCTTGTACTTCTAGTAAAATTGAAGCCCATAATCCAAAATACTCATTCTTACACAATCCATAGGGAATTCCAGATCCTAAGTGAAAACTTTTTGGAGCAGGAAAAGACCTTAGGCTTTGAACTCCAGCACTGTCCAAATACCCACACAATGTCATCATGTTTATGGACTCACAAAGCCTCATTGAAGTTGAGAAATTTTTTCATCTTGATCTTATGAACATTTGAAAGTTCCTTACGTTCTCTTCTTTGATTACAGACTCGTGAGAAGTTCCAGAGCCAGATTTCTGAACTGGAAAAGCTGCCTGAGATCCTGAAGTACACTGAGACACAGCTGGCGGAGTGCCATCAACAGCTCATGTGTTACGAGAAGAAGAACACGGACCTGTGTGGCATGATTTCAGACCTCCGTCAGCTGGTAAGGGACTGGCAGAAAGTACCCATACCAGTGCAAACCTCAACTGGGAAAGATTGAATTTCCAATCACAGCAAGGTTCAAACTTCGTCTCTGTTCTCGTCTCTTTTTGAAAAGATTAAACGTGCACTGCAAAATAAAGGTGTGTGCCATGTCTTTGTGCAAGAAGTTAGCGGCTTTGCTGGTAGCATTCCTTAATATTTGAAAGGTTTCTTCATGCCTTGGTGCAGAATCTTTCTGGGACTTGTTAGCAGCCATGGCAGCACTTGCTAATGCCAGCCCTTGTTTCTGTTACCTCATCCTCTTGTCAGCTTTCCCTCCTGTAGTTTTCTGGTGATGGTGCTGGCCCAACCGTTTTCTCACTCTGATTTCAGGTTGTTTTCCCAGTTTCTGTTTTTTGTTCCCAGAAACACTGTGTAGGTATTGCAGGACAATTTCAGATGGGGATGACATCTACAGCTGTGCCTCACAACACCACGTGATCTCTGTCTGACCATTTTAGTCTGCTTGGTTTGGAATTATAAACCTCCCTGGTGTTTCAGGCTCTGATGCTGTTGTGGGCTGCTGGCATGTTTGTGGCTGCTGTTCTAGTGTGTGTGCTTGGCTTGTAGCTCTGCTCTATTTGCAGGGATTTACAGGCCTGGTTTTTCTTTTTCAGTACAGATGAGTTTTCCTACACCTTCTTAGACTGTAAGTGGAAGCATCAGCAAAATGGGTGTTTAGTTGTTTTCTATCCATGGTTCCCTTTCTGAAGCTCTCCAGAAGTTATGAATGGAACATATTTCCTTCTGAGAGCTGCATATGTTTTAGGTGGTTGGACATGTGTGTGTAGTGACTGTGAAGTAATTAATTCCTGTAATTTTTAGATTGACCTCCAGGGGGACAAAATGGAGATGACAAGAGAGAGATATCAGTCTGCCCAAGAGGAGAAAAAGCAACTCACCTTGAAGGTGGAGGAGCTAGAAAGGTTAGAAATACCAGGCTCTCTTGCTTTTTTAACCTTCCATTTCCATTGTTTTTACAGGGGATTGAAACAGCTTCAATCTTGTTCCAGTTCCCCACATGCCTCCAGGATTCTGTGCATTTGCCTATCCCACAAGGTTCTCTAATCAGTAGCTGTCCACTGAGAGTTATATGCTGTTGCAGCAGCACCTGTTGTGAATGTTGTTAGACAGGATGATGGCTTAGACAGCAAAGAAACCAGCTCCTTGTCTAATCTAGCCTGGCAATTCTGAGGTTACTAGATATTACAGTATTTTACCTATGTTTATACATTTCTTTTAATGACTATGTCTCAGAAAATGCAGGTATATGGGTACTCTTTTGGTCCTTCAATATTTGAAATTTTGATTTGAGGACTGGAGAACTGTTTCCTGGGGCTCTCACCTTTCAAGCGGGAATATAATCTATTACCAGAGGAGTCAGGACCTGACAAAAGGCAGAATGAAACACACTCCATTTAAAATGAATAGGTTTCCTTCCCTTATTGTCTTAAACTAGAAAACTAGAGTCCACGAGTGCCCAGAACATAGAATTCCTTCAGGTCATAGCAAAACGTGAGGAGTCGATCCACCAGTGTCAGCTGCGGCTGGAGGAGAAGAGCCGTGAGTGCAGCTCCCTGGCACGCCAGCTGGAGATGGCCATTGAGGATGCCAAAAAACAAGTGAGTAATTTCTCATGTTTGTGAATTCACCCAAAGCTACCCAGGCTGTGAAAGGGGAACAGTGAGAATGCTGAAAATATGACCAAACCCATTAAAAACACCATGTTAAGTGAAATATAAATAATGTGCTGGTGCTGTTTGTCAGCACTGTTGAAGAACTGAATTTGGTTTGCAGCAAAGCACTACACTGAGCTGCTGTTTATGTATGAGAATGTGTCAGTTGAACTTTAAAGGGTTTTTGTGGGCAGTGGGTAGGGAAAAAACATTGTTCCACAGACACGCCTTTGACAAAATTGTTGTTCTGTGTAGGTGGAACAAGCTCGAGAACGAGCGGTCTCCAGAGAGAGGGCAGCCCAGTCCAAGGTGTTGGATTTGGAGACCCAGCTGAGCAGGAGTAAAACAGAGCTGAACCAGTTGCATCGGAGCAAAGAGGATGTGAGTGGCTTGTGGGGGATACTCTTGCTGTACTGGTGGTTCCCTGGCAACAACTGGATTCCATAAATCATCCTGTGGATGCGCTGCTGAAGTCATGCAGAGCTGTGCCTGAATGTGCTGTGCTGCTGTGTGTGTCCATGTATGTGTGACGTAGGACGTGTCTGCTGTCACCAGTTCAGGATTGTGTCGTGAGTGATAGGCAAGTCAGAGCACAAAGATGTGAATGAACCTGGTGTAAAGTTATGTGTGTGTAAGAAAAGAATCAGACTTTCCTTCTGTTCAAAGGAGATTTGCACCAGGTATCCTGGACAGATTTCAACTTCGTTTCGCCTATATCAGAGAGAGTGTAATTTCTCTTCTAGAGGAAAGACTGACAATCTTTTGTCATACCTATTTACCTTGTTTCCTTGCTTTAGTTTTACTTGGAATTGTGTTATCTGATGGATCAGGTCAAGTTGCTTTTCAGAAGAGGGTGTGTTTCATTCCCGGTAACTACAGCTAATACATTTTAAAAGCCCAACTGATAAGCCACATTGTCTCCTGCTTTTATCAGCGGGCTGCTGAATGGAGTTGGGAACGAGCAGAAATTATAAATATCACAGCACCATCTATGGTAATCTCATCTCCTGCTGTGCTAATTCTGGCTCTCCTCAGCACTTTGGGGGAAGAGTTTGACATGAACAGGGTGAATGTTGCTGCCTTTCAGCCGGGTTTGTGCTCCCCTGTGCAGGCAGAGCGCCGATACGAAAGCCGCCTCCAGGACCTGCGGGATCGGCTGGAGCAGTCGGAGAGCACCAACCGCAGCATGCAGAACTACGTCCAGTTCCTCAAGTCTTCCTACGACAACGTTTTTAGGGAAAGTGCTTTTCTGGGCTCCCCCAGCCACACTCGCTGTCTTCTGTGAGAGCAATGCTTTGCTTGCACCTTTTTTAAGCGCAGAGTAGGAGCTTTGTTTCAAAAGCCATATTGATTTAGAAAATTGGATGGCATTTCAGGGTCACTGTTGGGAGATTTTTTTTATTGTAGAATGACAAAATAAAATGATGTTGGCATCTGATCAAAATGTGGGGTATCAGCAATACTGGTTTGGTGCTGGAGGTTGGTGTTACACCATAAACTGAGTCCCAGAACCAGGTGGTTTTGCATATAATGGAAAAGATCCTTTTCCTCCTGTTGGGTCATGATGGTTTCAGCTCTTAAAACCTGTCAAAGGTTTGTTGAGTGTGTTAATTCTTGTAAGAGCTCTCTTTGTGCTTCACTTCTTATTCGGTTTCTCTGTTGGGGAGACCATGTGGGGCTTTTTTAAAATAATTTTTTTATACTGTTGGTGTGATGCTGAAAATAACTGAGGTGCTTGGGCTCTACACTCACAAAGAGATAATCTCCTGCACAACCACAGTGTTTGTAACAATTTTATACCAGAAATTATGAGTTTGGTTTGGTTTTTTTATACTTGATTCTTACATACTCCCTGATCCTTACCTTTATTTGTGAGTGTGATGCTAGTGTTGCTTTACTCCTCTTACCCTGATTTTCTGATCCTGACTATACCCACCCAGGACTGAGCCAAAACAATTAAATTTGAAGGAAATCAGTGTCATTTCATTTGGGATCTTGGTGCAAATTCCATGTGAGTTCTGGGGGTGTGTGAAATCCTGACTTTGCCTTAAGCCAGCTAAGGAACAGCTGGAGATATTCAACTTCATCAAATTCTCCTGCACCTTCTGGAAAATCAGGTCTTTTGTGTTTCAAGTCTCTAAAGTCCATGTGCTCTCTAGTGTCCTATTGTTTCTACTAAATGGTTCTTAGGCGGACAAAAATAAACCTTGTTTCTATTTTTCTCTCTTTTGTATCCTATTTATATGCTATGTGATGTGGTCACTGGCAGTATTTGCCATGAAAGTTTTCTAAACTAATCAGTTCAAAAGATCTGTAATTGTGCGTGTTTAAAAATCCCAGAAGTGCTGGGGAAGAAACCAATAAACTACATTTTAATTGGTTATGGTGGGGATTTTCTCTTGAGGTGCTGTGTGTGAGTTTGAAAAAGCAAACACATCTCGGGGCTGTTGGTGCAGCAGCTGAATTCCAAACTATTTCTGTGGTTCACGGGTGCAGCTTTCCCCCTGCTTCTGCGACCGGGGCTGAGCGACCTAACAAGGCGGGTCCAGCCCTCCCTGGGCAAGAACACACAGAAAAAGTGGGAAATCGGTGAACCTGCGGCTGTTTCCCGGCCGCGTCCTTAGCGCCCCGCTGCCGGGGGCGGGACTCGAACCCGCGGCGTCGGGCCGGGCCCCGCCTCTCCGCCAGGGGGCGGCCCCAGCCCTCCCGCCGGCACGAGGCGGATGCGGCCATCGCGGCCCGGAAGGGGCCGGCCCGGCCGTGAGGGACGCCGGTGGCCGTGAGGGAGCCCCTGGGCCAGTGCGGGATCGTCATGGAGTCGTGGCAGCTGCGTTTCGACACTCTGGAGGCCCTGCGCCTCTCCAGCAAGGGCCGGCTGAGCTACTGCAGCCACTGGCAGGAGGATGAGGTGAGGGCACGCCCCGGGAGTCGGCCCTGCCCGCTGGGAAACACCGACCGCTCATCCCGGTGACACTCAGGGCTTGAAATACCCCCAGAGCGGGTCCGGGCTCGGGAGCGCGGGGTGAGGGAGCGGGGCTGGTCCGAAGGGGTTCAAATACCCCCAGAGCGGGTCCGGGCTCGGGAGCGCGGGGTGAGGGAGCGGGGCTGGTCCGAAGGGGTTCAAATACCCCCAGAGCGGGTCCGGGCTCGGGAGCGCGGGGTGAGGGAGCGGGGCTGGTCCGAGGGGGTTCAAATGTCCTGCGAAGGTAGGATAGTCCGGAAAAAGTGTTGGAAAGACAGCAGAAAAAAGGGTTAAATGGGATACTGAGCTGCGATGATAAAGCAGCTACTAACTGTGCAGATGTGTTCATGGTGGGGTAAAGTTGTATTGAACTTAGGGCTGTGCCGCGTTCACGGAGGACGTTTTCTCTCAAGGCTGCCTTGGAAGGATGTGTGGCACCCGTTGAGCTCTCCCCTTACTGCGGCTGGGTGCTGGACAGCCTTAGTGGGCAATTAGCGCAGGAAATCGCACCCTCCGGGACTTCAACGCCCAAACAATCCACTCCACTCCCAAAACGGGCATCTGCGGAGAAGGTCCCGCCTGGCAGCCACCAGAGCTCTTCACCACCTTCATCTACAGAGCCCAGTGAGACCAAGGTAGCTCTCTGATTATAATCCATATGTTTATGGAGCAGCTGTGAGGAAAAAAAAAATCCTAACTTGCTGTCATAAATTGTCAGATCAAGACTGGTTTGTGCTCTGTTAATTTATGGGGAAAACATCTTTAGTTTTATTTTTTTTGTAGTACGAACAGGTGACGATAAAGTTAGTTTTAACAAGATTTTCATAGAAAAATGTTTCATAGTAGATCCAAAGCAAACTCCATTTTTCACCATAACTGAGGAAAATAGTTGTAGCTCTGTTGTGTTGTGGATTAGCAGCACAGGATTCATCCATAAGGTCACAGAGGAGGGTCAGGGCTGTTGTAAAACTCCATGAGTAACCACACTGGGTTCTCTGGAGTCTTTTGAGTGACTTACATGTGTTCTAACTCTATTTTACGAGGCAGAAGGGTAGGAAGCTGGGCAAATAATAGTTAGGAGACTTGCTTTATCTGTTTTCCTCCATGAATTGCTGATTCTGTGCTTAGATGCTGATTTTGCTTTTATGCTGGCCATACAGGAAAGTGATCATCTTAGTCTCCTGGAAATGAATCAAGAAGTTGTTCCAGCAGTTCTGTCGTCTAAAGTTGCAAAAGTCGAAGGCTGCATTCGGATGTATGAAGAGATCCACAGGCTGAAAGCAAAGGTAAGGAAAAATGATTGAGGGGGTGTCAGTGAATCCCAGGAGTCAGAGATAACAGTGCAAGGACAGCAAGTTATAAATGTTGGGCAGTTTGGTTTGTGTTTTCTGCTGTCCACATTGTTCAATGGCTACCTTTGGTGCCCCTCTGTAATGCAGGAGAGGCTGAGGCAGCGGCAGGAGGAGCAGGAGCAGATGGTGAGGGCAGCCTATGCCCAGGCCAGTGAGCAGCTGAAGCGCTTTGATGAACTGAGGGAGCTGAAGCGGCATCAGGAATTCCAGGAGTTGCAAGAAGTAATGGAGAAGAGGTGAGATTACCTCTGGTATCACTAGAATTTTATAGCATTTAATCAAAGTGCAGATTAATTCCTGTTCCTGACAATTCTATGCTAGTCACTTGTGGTTGGAAATTTCACCTGCTGTTTGTCTTACATTAACTATCCTGTTAGAGTTTGGCTGTCAGAGTAGAAGTCTGGCTGTTGTTGAGGTTTCAGTGGTTAGAAAAAGACAACATTTTTGATAACTAAAGTTCCTTTAGCTTGTTTTAAGAAAAGTTTCCTGTGTGTTGGTTTGTGTTTTGTCTCCTGAATGTCTTGAATACAGTTTTTCTGTCTTTATGTGTATTGTAGCTCAAAGGAGGCTCAGGGGCAGCAAGAGAAGTTGAAGGAAGAGCACCGACATAGAGCAAAGGTCTGAGACTCGTAAGAATTGTCTTTCATAAAAGACCATGACTTCTGGGTGGGAACTGGAAAGACCAATTGCTTTATTTGTATTTTCACAACACTCTGAAGTGGGCTTGGATTTTCTGGTGCTATCCTGGGCACCTGCTGCAGTGTGGAAATGCATTAAAGGCACTTCTGTCCTAGGAACAGGAAGGCCCTGTAAAGCTGGAGCCATCTGACCGGGAAGGAACTGTACAACTAGAGTTATTGAGGTATTTTATTACTCTTGTGTCTTTGTCTCCCCAGATATTGAACCTAAAATTGCGTGAGGCAGAGCAGCAGAGGCAGCGCCAGGAAGAGCTGGAACGTTTGCGCAAGGAGGAGGGCCAGGAGAGGCTGCGTCGCCTTTATTCCATCCAGGAGGAACTGCTGCAGCTGAACCAGCAGATTGATCCCAACTACAGGCACAAAGACTTGCCCAGAATCGATCTGTCTGCATACAGCAATCGTGGCAACCAGATCTGTGGACTGGTGTCAGGGCTCATCCGCACCACGAGCGAGGTACAGGCTCTGGAGTTGTGAACTTGCGCTGTCATTCCTTCATAAAGCTCTCTGTAGTTGTCTTCAAAGGCAGCTTGTCATGAGGCCCTTAAATAAGATGTCACAGCAATGTTTTTAGATATTCATCCTATAAAACACCCAGTTTCAAAGGGGAATTCTTTCCTCTGGCACTTTAGCTGTTCTCTTGAAAATGGCTTATCAAAATGCATGAGAAATTCTACAGGAGAAAGATTCAAATTAAATTGCTGTAAATTCTTGGTGCTGTATAGTTCCCTCTGTGACAGTGGACTGGTTCATGAATTGTTAAATACTGAACATCTTATGATTCTCCTCTCCTCATGAGCTTTTCTGCAGCAGCTGGCTTTCCTTGACATTTTTTCTTTCTAGGATGGGATACAAGTCTTGAAAGATAAAGCGCTAATAAGGCTAATCCTGTGTTCCAGCTTGTCTGGCTTTCAGCAGAGGGAGCTGTCAAGGCTTTGCACTGGAGTTCACTTGCACTTCTCCAAGTGTATTCTTAATTTTTGTTGTCCAAGACCTTAGGAGATTTAGTCATGGACTCGCATTATTTACAAATATTATGACCAATATTATGTACAAATAAAGGAGATGGGGTTAAAATATACAGTTAGCTCCCAGGTTATCTGAAGGCAAAGGCTTCAAAGGCTCCTTGTGCTTGCTGGTGGCTGGTGGCTTGGTCTTGAAAGATAAAGCGCTAATAAGGCTAATCCTGTGTTCCAGCTTGTCACAGCTGGCTTTCAGCAGAGGGAGCTGTCAAGGCTTTGCACTGGAGTTCACTTGCACTTCTCCAAGTGTATTCTTAATTTTTGTTGTCCAAGACCTTAGGAGATTTAGTCATGGACTCGCATTATTTACAAATATTATGACCAATATTATGTACAAATAAAGGAGATGGGGTTAAAATATACAGGTTATCTGAAGGCAAATGCTTCAAAGGCTCCTTGTGCTTGCTGGTGGCCCTCTGACAGTGGAACCAAAGGTTAATGCTGTGTTACCTCTCATGTTTCTTGGCAGAGAGGGTTCCCAACTCAAGCAGATGTGGCCAGCACTGAACGAGCCCTGCAGGAGATGCGAGGGTTGATATCCAGCATGCAGCAGGAAATTGCTGCAGCTCTAGAAGAAAAGAAGAGGAAAGATGAAGAGGAAAAGAAACAAAAGCAGAAGGAGTTAGAGAAAAAAGAGCAGATGAAGAGTCAGACTCCTGCCTCTGCACAGCAGTCAGGGGAAAAGCAGCAGAAGGAAGGTTGGTTAGGCTTTTTTAAAAATCTTTTTTATTCCTTTGACTTGCATTTTTTAAAGTGAGTTTTCTCACTGGAGGTTTAGGTCTTTCTTACTTCTTTTTGGTTTTTTTAATAACAGGGCTTCAGGTTAAAACTGAAGAAAGTATCATGCAGTGGTACCAGCAGCTTCAGGATGCTGCCCAGCAATGTGTTGCTGCTTTCAGTGAAATTGGAAACTGCAAAGGCAACACTGAGGTATGAACAAATTATTAATACTCTGGAAGAGAGATTATCTTAATTTCTAGGTAAATAGGATAACTTTCATTAAAAAAAATTAAAACTGTATTGTAGCAGCCTCTGTTACCACTCTGCTCCAAACTATTATGTATATATGTATATACACATATATGTACTTGTTTGGGAAGGATTTTAAAGTTGTTTGTTTCTTTGTTCTTAGGTGAAGAAGATAAAAACAAACTTGCAGAAAGCAGCTACAATCCCTGTGAGCCAGATCTCTAGCATATCAGGTCAGGAAAACACCAAAAGCTCAATCCCACTGAAATTCCTTTTGTTTTAAAGATTTTATGAGGGCACAAGTATATCAAGTGTTTCTGTAGCAGAATCTGACCTGCACACAGCCTGTCTGTGCAGGAGGGTTTGCTTGTGTTTTGAAGGCCTGTTTCTTCCCTCAGAAGCATCTTTCTTCATCAGGATTAAGTTTGGTTAATCAGATAGAGCAAAGGTGCCCTTTGGGATGTAGGTTTGGTGTTGGTGAGCTTGATGTATTCTGGGTAAGACTTGTCTGCTGTTCCCTTATCTTGTGTCTCTGTACATTCCTTATGTATTTGCAGGCTCTAAGCTGAGAGAGGTGTTTGACAAGATCAATAACCTGCTGTCTGGGAAGCCTGTTCAGACTGAAGGGCAGTCCGTGTCGGTGACTCAGCATCCACAGGGGCTGGAGTTTGTTTGCTACAAACTTGCAGAGAAGTTTGTGGTGAGGAAATCTCTTCTTTGGGGTGGCACAGGTGGCCCGTGCTCTTGGACACTGAACTGTCTCTTCAGCTGTGAAGAACAAAATCATTGGGTGTTCAGTTTGCCTGTATGAATGCAGTGAAAAAACTTACTTTCTCTTTCACTTCCAACCCTTATTTCTTATGGGAGGAAAAACTCTTTTAAATTTCAGGCTTACATCTTACATATTTTGAACTAGGTAGGTACAGTGTTGTGGAAAATAGTTTGATAGTTAATTTATGGTATATATAAATATATAGGCTCAAACCTTATATGTTGGCAGAATGTGTTGGACACAAAACCCCAAGACTAAGGCTCAAGAGGCAGACTTCAGTCCCTGCTTTCTTGTTAACACCTCTCAAGAAATGAAGTTTAAATTGTTTTTTGAAGTTGGCAGTATTTTTCTCTTGTCTTTTATTTGCTAAATTTGGGCGGTTTGAAACTTTTCTCCCTGCAGAAACAAACGCATGCAAAAGTCAACCCATGGAGTAAAACTGTGACTAATTTGTAAATACTTGAAAGTGATTCTTTGGGTTGAGAATATCTGTGCAGCCTGCACTTTAAGCCTGTATTTGCTAATCCCATTTTTCTCTGCTGAGCCACAGTTTATTGTCATCCTCTGTGGGAGCTGAGGATAGGTGGCTTCATCAGCTTTTCTATCCTTGGTTCATAGCCATGGAAACATTCAGATTCTTTAGTAAAGGCTAACTGCAGAAATGAGGAGTGGATTTTTTTTTTTCTGAGAAATTACTTGAAAGAGTGGTGACTGACTTTCCTTTTCTACCCTCCAGAAACATGGGGAAGGAGAAGTATCTTTTCACCATGAGTCAGCTTTCCCAATTGCTGTGGTGCTCTCAGGAATCTGGGAATTACACCCTCGAGTCGGAGACATCTTTTTAGCTCATCTGCACAAAAAGTGCCCATATTCTGTGCCATTTTACCCTGCTCGGAAAGAAGGGACTTCTGTGGAAGAGTATCAGAGGTAAATTTACTACTGGACTTTTTCTCCATGAACCCTGCAAGGGTGAAGACTATTTTGAGTGAACTCCACTTTCCCCCATTCCTGAGCACATAGGCATTGAGTCTGGAGGTTCACTCACAAGTGTGTAAAATCCATCTTGTTCCAACCCCCTGTCCTTGAGCATTTTCTTGGATGGGGCAGCCAGAGCTTCTCTGTGACCTGTTCCAGTGCCTCACCAAATGGTGGAACATATGATCCAGAGGGTGATGATCAGCCTTTGCAGTAATTCTTGCATGTTTTTGGAGAATCCCTATTCTCAGTAGAGTTGACTTCAAGTAAGCTGAGAGCTGCAGGGACTTGAGTGAATGTGTTTTGCTATTCTAAAACTAGAATGTTTTCTCATACTAAGGATGCTTGGATATGAAGTTCATGATTCTAAAGTGGAAGAACAGGATCATTTTCTTAAAAGGATGTCAGGAATGATTCGTCTCTATGCTGCCATCATTCAGCTCCGCTGGCCCTATGGAAACAAACAAGGGGTATGTGTGTAGCTTTATGCTTAGAGCCTTGTTACTATCCCAGGAGTCTATTAAATGTATTGGAAGCTTGTTTTGTAATTGAGGTGTGCTGAATTTAAACTAGCTCAGGATATATTTGAAGGAAAATTGCCATAACCATGATGAACAAAGCAATGCTAATTAATGGTGTGAACTTTTACTTCCTTTATGTTTTCACAGTGACCAAGTCTTACAAAGAGAAAAGTCAATCAGAAAACTGTCTGTTTTGATAATTGTGTTTTACAAGTCATAAAGCAAGTGATGAGTAGCTTCTTTGTTGCTTGGTAGGCACATCCTCATGGTCTGAGCTATGGATGGCGCTGGCTTGCACAGATGTTGAATCTGGAGCCACTGGCAGATGTGACAGCTATGCTGCTTCTGGATTTCCTGGAAGTAAGTGGTGTGGATAACTGTTAGTAGTTAAATGTCACCAGTTTACATCCCTTTGGGGTTCTGGAGGGATTGCTGAGGTGAGATTCACAGCAGGCTTTTCTAACTTGTTCTTATTTCTTCAGAAAGGAATGTGAATATATCCACATTCTTGCAAATACAGCTTTGGAGCTGAATGATTTCAAAACTGAAGTTTCTATAAACATAAATTCTTTTGTTGTATTTGATTCTGTTTAAGGTTTCTGGTGGTTTAAAAATAGCTGTATGGTCTTATATAAGGTCTGTTCTAAATACCTGGCAGTTTGTACTGTGCAAGGTGGTCCTGTGGCTGCTCCAGCCAAATTAGTTCATAAAACAGGATAGATTTTTCAGGCTGAAAAGATCAGAGCCTGATGGATATTACTCCTCTCTCCTAAGATAATAGGCCTGTGCTAAATAAGGGCCACAGCTGAAGGCAGAAGTCAGGGGACACAAATATTGTTGAACCACAAGCAGCTTCTCTGCTCTCAAATCTTCTAAAGAACTGTAAAAGTACAGATGAGAGAATAGGAATTGAAATACCCCATGGGAGATTCTGTTGGGGTGATGAAGTCAGAGGAACATTTGTTCTGTAAACTGTGTGTAGAAAGCTGATGAATCACTGCTCACAGCAGTAATCACAGTGGGGAAATGACCACAGTGTGCCCCAGTAAATGGTGTTAGGAAACAGAACTATTTTTGGAGGGAGACTGGGGTGAAATGAAGGATGTCAAGATTCATATAACAGGAAAGAAGGTGATTCTGGTAGCATAATACTCCAAATAGCATTTGGGGGATTTGGTTGTTTCAGTGTAGGTGTATTTCTTTAAATGTCTTGAATAAAGCATTAAGTCATTGGTGTGGAGCAGGTTCATTGCAGCTGTCATGCAAGTTGAAAACCAATTGTGTAACCTGCACTTTGTGCCTTTCTGTATCACAGGTGTGTGGCAATGCTCTGATGAAGCAGTATGGGATTCAGTTCTGGAAAACAATGTTCTTTATCCAGAAATCCTATATCCCAAGGTATGATAGCTGGGGTTAGGAGTGTTGGTGTTCGCTCTGAAGTGACTCATCCATGTTTTCCAATCCTGCCATCCACCCCCACACCCACTTGTGAATCAAACCCAACTTTCTAAACAGATTTTGAAAGGTGCTGTTATTTCTGCAGGATTGAAGCTGTGACCAGCTCTGGCCAGATGGGCTGTTTGTCACGTTTGAAGAATTTCGTGCAGGTAAAGCAGTTTGGGGGGGGGTTTGTTAATTTAATTTTCAGATGTTTTGGTTTGGGTTTTGTTTTTCTCATCACTGAATATATGCATCATTTGGATAATGAGGTTGGCACTGCTTGCCACCCACCAGACCTCTCTCTATGATCTAACCCATCTTTTGTAAATTTTAAATTACTGAATTACCTTAATGATAGTTATGATATCAAACATCTCACTGCTTTTTTACCTCACATCTAATTTTTATCAATGAAAATGTATTTTGGTTATAAAGGAAGATCAGTGAGAGGAGATGTACAGGTTGAGGAGGATTCTGCTGAGTCATTTCTGTCATGGCTATATCTTATCAGTAGTTATTTGCTTTTAGCACTTGTCCTGATTAAATATATGGGGAAGTGATATTTTGAGCTGCTATCTGTAGTGTTTGTTTAGCATTGCATTCTGCATATTTTTTTTTAAAATCTTGAAAAATTGTAAATAATTGATTGTTTAAATTGTTCTGTGAATGTTGACTTAGATTATGATATTAAAATATGACTTTTTATGATATTAAAATATGAGCTTTGAAGTTAAACTTTCATAATTAATTCTGGTACATTTTATTAGCAATGCTTTGAATGTATAGTAAGAGCCATCAGAATTCCTGAGAAGGCCAAATCAAGATACACATTTATTTATCTTTATTATTTGTCTTTCTCTCCATTAGAAATGTCTACGTGCAGAGGAAATTCCATTACCAAAGGGCATTTTGACACCTTCCTTTTGGAGAACATAAATCAGCCTGTATTTCCTTTCCCCTTAATGTTTAATTCAAGAAGATTTATTTGTTAGATTCAAAGCTAATCTCTGCATTAGATCTTTATAAGTTTTTGTATAATAAATTACTGACACTTCAAGTCCTTTCCTTCATATGTTTAATCATGTGGAAGATGCTTTAAATCCATTGTGCTGATGGCTCTGGAGTTAAGGACTCTTGGACTGAGAAATTGCACAGTGCTGTTTGGCCCATGGAAGTGAAAATACCTCACAGCTTTATGAACTCTTAACAGCATAATCAATCTCAAACTTACTGCAAGAACTTTATTTTTGTATTTCTTGCATCTTTTATAATTCAGCTGTAATTATGCTGATGGACTTGTTCTCAACATCATCTAAAATCTGTGGTGAGGCTGCTGAAGGTTGAGCAGTGCTGACACTTGTCTCCCTTGGATGTAACTTCACTCCAAAAGGCAGGACTCTGGGTTGGAGGGAGGTAGACTCACTGCTCCAAAAGGTTTGTGGGGGAAAGAAGAACTCCTGTAATAATCAAAATTCTTTGGTTTTTTTTTCTGTTGGAGAAGGGGCAGTCAAGAAAATCCACAGCTCCTGGATGAATAGAGATGGAAAATCTGTTGCATTTACAGTGAGCTGTCCTTGAACTGTTTTGGTGGCCTCTAAGATGAGAAAATTTATTTCTGAGTTCTACAGGGTAGTTAATTATTCTGGCAATATACTCTTGCAAGTGCTATTGAAAATGTTATTTTTACCAGACTGGGGTTTGTTTTTCCTAGGGGCACCAGGGCTTGAAGCTGTAGAACATGGAATTGAGGTTCTCCTGTGAGAATATGGATTTGATTTTCCATATAGTTCTTGAGATTTCTGAGAAAAGGTTGTAACGTGTGCTTTGGAATTCAGGCCTGTAAAACCCTTGTCTTTAAAATGGTTTAATACCCAAGTTAAATTTGTATTTGGTTTATGTATTTTGTAAACTGACTCTGGAATACTTTAGACTACTGTTACCTTGTGATTGTTCTGGGAAATTGGAAATATCCTCCTGGTGTGCGTTTGCCAGATAATTCTGAAGCAATGCAACTTTTATTAGTATACTTGAAAATGTACAAGGTTTTTTGATACTGAGTGGAGATGTTTTAATTTTATATTGCATATTTCATAATTATGGTGGAGATTCACTTTGCCAAGACAGTAATTGGTCATGTCTGTTAGAAACAATTGCCTACCTGTGCCAAACCCAAGGAAGAATTTGATGATGTACTTGTGAAATACAATATTATTTTTGCTGACAGCTACTTGGGGTTTCTAACATTTGTGGGGTAAATAAAAGTATATATTTTTATAAAAAAAAAACCAAGATATCCTTTTCTGCCTCAGTAAAGAGAATCCACATACCTACTGTTTTAAAAATACTAATATGAATGCTAAATGAATAATGTGTGTGCTTCATAAGGATCAATATTTGTTTTTAGATGTAGCTTGAGGTTTTATCTGCTGCTTGAGCTGAGTGTTTGACTTGTTTTTGTCATTTTAGCAGGTTTGGATGTTAGCCAGTTGGTGCTGTTAAGATGCAATGCAAATAAGGTCATATGCATATGTCCCTGGTGGTTTTGCATGTACATTTATATCAAATGTGACCAAGGAGAGCATGGCAGATGTGGAAATACTGTGCCTTCAGGAGGAGATGCATCAAAGTCGGTGTGAGTCAGACTCCTGCTTGGAGACAGGAGTTCCAGGCAGTCCCAGGGATGCAGTGTCACCATAAGTGCCTGTGCTTCCAATTAAGTACTTCACTCAAATAAAGTGTTATTAATTCACACAGCCATCAAACCCACTCACCACTTTGAGCCAATAACATTCTTGCTGCCTTCCAGCCCTCTAACTCTAATTATTTCATTTTTTTAGAGTAGAATGTGTCTATTTTAAACATTGATTTAATGCTAAAGGCTCATTTCCCTTTGAATTTATGCATCAGCTTTTCAGAAATAGCTTTCCCTTGACAGGCTCTTGCAGCCTTTTGATGCTGTGTCCTTGCCAGGCTTCTGGGTGACACTGCACAGCACTTCAACAGCCACTCTTACCTATACATCTGCATATAAATTTTATATATATATATATATGTGTCTGTGTGTTATATATATGTATATAAATACGTCTCTATATAATATAAAACTAACAAAGCTGCTGCTTTGACCGTGGCTGGATGCTGCACAAGTGAGCTGTCCCCATCACTGAGCCGTAGAACCTCGACCCTGACTCCGGAGAAGGGGGCAGAGACATTTTAACCGATTCCCCCGGTACTAATGTGATTTTGGGGTGCCCCAGGCCGGTCCCTGCAGGGCACAAACGCCCTCCGCGCCCTGCTCCTCCGCTCGGCTCTTTCCGGAGCCCCTCGGTCCTTTCCGGACCCTCACCCTCGGTTATTTCCGAACACCTCGGTCTCTCCGGAACTGCTCGTCTCTTTCCGGATTCACTCGGTTCTGTCCGGATCCTCCTCGTTCACCGGCGGAGCTCGGGTGGGCGTGGCCTCTCCGCGCTCGTTTCTCGATTGTTTCCGAAGTTGTTCGTCTCTTTCCGCCGTCCGGGCAGGGCAGCTCTGCGGCGCTGACGTCACCTCCGGCCGGGCTATAAAAGGGCGGGTGCGGGCGGCGCGCGCGGTCCGTGGCGGAGGGCGCGGAGCCGGCGGGAGGTCCCTGCGCACCCACAGACCCGGTGAGGGGATGGGGCGAAGGGCGGGCGGGGGGCGCCGCGCGGCCTTCACCGCGCCCCGCTCGGGCTCACCCAGCCCCGCACGCACAGCCGGGCACAGGTGTGCGGGTGAGCCGGGAGAGGCTGAGGCCGGCCCTGCCTCCGCGGGCGTCCCGGCTGCCGCTCGCTCTCGCCCTCCGCGGCTCCGCCGGGCCGTTCTTTATCGCGGGGCGCCGCAGAGCCGGGCCCGGGGTCTCCCCGCGGGCCTCGGTCGAGCGGAGCGGAGCGAAGGGCGGGGGCGCGGCGCGAGTGAAGGGCGGGCGGGCAGGGAGCGGCCGCAGCCGCCCTGAGCAGCGCGACCCGCGCCTGGAATCCCATTCAGCGCCCCGGGGAGGGACAAACAGGCGGAAAATAACATCCCCGGCGGGTAACAGCCCCCGCCGTGCCCGCCCGGCCCTTCAGGGCTGCCGCCCAGCATTTCCCGGGGAGAATTCCCGGGGGATGGAGCCCCCGGCGCTCCGCGGCGCCGGGAATCATTGCACAGCAATGGCTCCCGCGGCTGCCCAGCCCTGTCCAAGGTCAGGAGATGCGGCGAGGAGGAGGAAGGAGCGATGGAGGGGCCGGGGCAGCGGCAGAGCCCGTGCCGCAGGGCCCGCGGGTCTCCGGGCAGGGACGGACACGGGGGCGGCTCAGCAGAGCTGACAAGCAGGGAGGCATTTCAGCCGAGCCTCCCGACCTCTGTTCCTTTCATATATATGTTACTTTGTATGTAGGGCAAGGTCTACTGCTTCCTTTGTAAAACAGTCAGGATTTGTCCCTGCCCTGGTTATTTAAAAAAAAAACAAAAAAACCCAAGCTTCTTTTTTTTTTGTAATTTAAAATAAATCCAAATCAAGTATTTCTCAATTTGTTGCCCACATACACCTTACCTGGTTATAACAATATAAATCTGCATTGCTGGATCATAAATATGTGCCAATAGGGCAACCATTTTCCCTGATACTGAAGGAAAACCAAGCAATTATCACTGTATATATTTTTCAGCAGGTTCATATTGGCTGTTAAGGATTTTTTTGTAGCTGTTTTATCATAAACCAGGTTCGTGTTCCAGTGGAAAATGTACGTGACTCCTGAGCAGTCTTTCATACATATTTAAATACGTTTTGAAGAGCAGTTGTCTGGAGATGGCGAATGAGCGTATCGGGGGGAAAAAAATGAAAAAAACAACCCAAAAAAAAGCCACCTCAGCCTGAAATGGTTCTGTATCTTTCTGGAAAACAATCCATTTTCTTTTGGCATTTTTGCTTTCAGCAAAGTGCCAGAAGATTCCAATGACTGTGCTCAGTAGACGGCCTTAGTCAGGGATTCAGATTTGTTCAACACAAATTTTAAATCCCACTGTGGGATTTTCATGCATTTATATACATCTAGCAGAGAGTTCTTCCTTGAAATCTTCATTTGTCCTTATTTATGGATTGTGCAGAGAAAATAATGGACAAAAGGTTGAAAATGGGTTGCTTTCTGCTGCATTGTGTGCAGGATCTGTAACAGTAATAATGGAATTGTTAAGCTGTGGAAAATACTTGTAATAAGATAACAGGTTACATTGTTCACAAGAAGTAATTTATTTCCATTCTTGTTGAAATAAAAAGCCACAATATCCACATTGGTCAGACTGAAATCAAAATTTTATTTAAAGAAACAGATTTAGATATAATGCTTATATGAGATCTGTAGTTCAGGAAGTTAAACATAATTGTGGTTGATTTTTTTAATAACAAAGGTAGCAACAATGACAAAATGATGGTTGCATTTACACATTTTAAGCATTTTTTGCACATTTTTCTCCTGCACAGCAGTAGGATAAGAGAGGCCTTAATTCTCTTGGTGGAGGGTGGTACCTCTTGGTGAGAAATTTGTATTTCTCAACTATGACATTTACGGCTAACCTTAGTAATTTAGCACAAATAGCTTGGTATCTTCACTGCCTTTTTTTGGTCCACGTAATGTATTTATGGGCTTGTGACTGTTTTAATCATAAATACATTGCTTTTTGGAGACAATTGATCACTTCCCCTCTATTGGAAGAAATAATACGAATTCCTCCCTTTTCTCCTCTGCTTGTCAGTGTAGAGTGGGAGTTTGTTTTTTCCATTTGTCCCTGGAGCGAGTGTAGGCAGCAGAAGAATGGGGTGGAGCAGGCTGCAGATGCCGTGGATGATCCCGGCCCGGGCTGCCCGTGGCTCCAGCAGAGGGGAATGTGCCTCTCGTGCTGCAGCTGGACCGGGGAAGGGACCCGCACAGCTCCACCGGCACAGAGGCACACGCACACTGCTCCCTGCAGGGACCGCAGCACGTCCCTGCGGTTGGGCAAGGCAAGGAAACGTTTAGCTGAAAATTCAATGGATTGGACACTCTTAACAGCTACATCTCAAAAAATATTTTCTGTCACAACTGCTACTTGTCCTTTTTTTGTCGTGGCAATTGAAAGTCAACATTTTTGTAGAGATTTACATTCCAAACCTTCTGATTGAATTTGTGTCTTCAAATTAAGCCATCATGCTTGGTTATAGTGTAGCAAGAACTATCATTTGCCAAGTCCAGATAACTTGCTTTACTTTCTGTTTTGACCTTCTGGTTATGGTAGTTTTTTGGTTTGTTTTGAACTAACTGGAAAGGTTAGTACATACTGAATTAACTTAGTTTTCCTGTTGATATTGTAACCTTTTTTGCATGAGGGAGTCTTGTCATTTTCAACACCTTGGGTAACACTAACACCAAATTATTTTATGTGACAAGGAAGCAAAAGGAAAGTGATTAACAGGTACTGTGACAGAAAAATTTCATCCATATCCTTATGCTGGTCATTAGTTGAATGTTATCTTGATTTCCCCCTCCCTTTTAGACTCTACATTCTTCCATCATGTTGTCATCGTTTCGTAAAGTCAAAGTCCAGGTATTTTTCCATAATGCATGAAGTGCCCTTGCCACACTTGCCTGCCTTTATTGCAGTGACCTGTTTGTAACAAAAGCCACTAGTTTGAATTTATTCTCTACAGCAGGTGCTTTATTTGCACTTAGTGTGAGTCTGATCTGCCTTTCCTTTAATACTTTTGAGTTGCCTAATTTCTGTCTGTGATGCATGATGTGTGAACGTTTTGTAGGAGTTACAGTTCAATATAATCAAGTTTTGATACTGATTAATTTTCCAGGAGGTTTTTATTTTAAAATGTATTTGAGCAGAATCTTTTTCTTTATAGCTTCTGCAAATCAACTGTGAAGAGATTTACAGTGCAGAACATTGTGCATTTAAAGTTGGTTTGGTTCCTATTCATCCATTTGCACAAATTTATAATCCTTGAGTTGTTGTGCTTTAACTGTTTCTACACAGTGATGCTTGTGTTTCAGTGGTGATAAAATAAATAGGATGTGATAAAATAAATAGGATGTATTTGGAAATGGTAGTGAGGTAAATGTTTATACTGCAATTAAAAAGATAATGAAAAGATAACAAATGGGATGAAAAATGCTGGGGTTAATTATATAATCTTGCATTACCTGTAAACTCTGCATTTCTGCATTGCAGTCAAGGTAATTTGCTTTCTCAGGAGTCTCAGCAGAGTGCAGTCCTTGCCAGCCCTGGATAGTTTTATCAAAGGTCTATG